AACCTTGCGTTTCCTGTCTTTATCTCACCTATTGTATGGAATATGTGTGAAAATCTTCATTATGAATCGGTATATTTCAAAGAGCCACACAACGAGCAAGAATACTATTGACTGACTATATACAGAGTGGGGGCACGGTATGTGTCAACTATTACTAGTATATTTTGAATCACTAATTTAATTTCGCGTTTTTGAGCACCACAATTTACAGAGGGTGTGAATGGGGTTAACCGACTAGCGACAAAAGGCGAAAAATATTACTGACTACCGACAAAACGAGTAAAAAATTACCGACTACCGACAGGAAAAATATTTACCGACACGGGCTGACATTATCAATTTTTGTTTTCAGAAAAAAAGAGCATTTTGCATTTTTTTTTCTAGCCTTTAGGAAGTAACCTCTTTAAATTATGATTCATCGGATGGTCTAACAGAAAGAACTTCCTCTTTTGTTGATACGGGTACATTACTACAACCAATATCATAATCACAGAAGCCACACCTTAAAGATGCTACCGACTTTATAAATGTTATTGAAAAGACAAAGGTGAAAAAACTGAACGTTTCTTGTTTCGGTCCGAGAAATGCTTAGATTAATCCTCAAATAAGATTCTTTCCAGTTTAATGGAGGCACTATCAGTAAAAAAAAACACGGTATCGCGGTGAGCACAAACAGCAGTTTCCTTTCCAACATTTTCATGGCCGCATATATTGAAACACAAAGTTTAAGCAAAACCGTCTTTAAACATAAGTAAACCAGACATGGTAGATTTCTTCAAATTCACGGAACAAGTTAACTTACTTCACCCTACTGCCCTACTGGCTATCAAATTTACGACCGAAATATCTGACACTGAGACAATCTTTTTAGACCCGGTTGGATACCAAGGCACAACATTCAGCGAAAAATGAGAAAAAGCTATATCATTGACGTAAAGAGGCTTCCAGTATATACATTTTCACCTCTTGTCACCCACCAATTGTTAAAATGAATTTGACAAACAAGAAGTCTTGAGAATCCTACGAACAAACTCCTCTAAGGAAGTATTGATTGACAGAGGCTGGCACACAATTTTGAAAGAAAAATTGCTATTGGAAGTAAAACTCACAGAAGGAAAGCAGCGCTCCTGAAACAAAACAACAAGGAAGAAAAAGAAATACTGTCTTTCGTGACACAATACAAGCTCTTAGTGTCTATTATATAAGAAGCTTTAATGAAAAAGTCTACTCTCATACAAAACCAACCAATACCTCGCCAAAGTTTTAAAGAACCACTTAACCCTCGGACGTACACCCAAAATCATACCTCCCACCAAGGTACAAGAGGAGGGTACATGGAACCTCTCCCCAGAGTTTTTGATATGTTGCAGTGTTTCGAAGCGATTTTGCCTTCACTGAAAAGCCTTTGATCTTCTCAACAAGATGAGGTATAGTTTAGCTGCTGGAGGCCTGTGACGTCACCAACAATGGCCGCCATCTTGGCCGCAATCTTGGATTTTACCAAGAATTAGAAATCGGGTTAAAACGGCGAGAGATGGTAATTGCTTGACATGAATAATAATACATAAATAAGCACTTTGCATGATTTTAGCCACAAGATTTACTTTTATTGTTGAAAAAAGTTGAAAAAAAAACATACATTTTCTCTCAAAATGGCTTGACCACCTGCTACTTATTACGTCATACCTCGTAACCATAGAAACTGATCATCACTGAACTTGTCTCAACTTGTCAGGTGCTGCTGTTTTATCCTCTTGGAAAAATCCCAGAAAAACCTAAGGGGGTTGGCATCCCCCCCCCCCACCCCTTGTACGTCCGAGGGTTAAAGTTTTATTTCTTTGAGAAAGGAAAATATGGCAAAGGACATGCTTGTTAGAGTCAAAACATTAAAGGTATAGATGTGCAGCCTGTCACCCCTTACAGTTTTTCGCTAAGAATAATTTAAGTATCCAAAAGGCTGGAGTCTATTAATTAATTACTTGCTTTTTACTGTGCCCTGTAGTCGAGAGGGACTCCCTGTCGACTACGGGGCACATATGCGAACTTGGTGACCAAGTTCGCATTTACAATAAAAGGTTTGGTGATTTTATTAGTATTCATGATAGTCATTTGGCAAACAATGGTGAAATAAACGATCATGTTGCATAAACAAACAAGGGTTAATGAAGTTTAAGTGCAATCAATGATGCATTCTTACAAGTTTTACTCTTTCCTTAGGGATCAAATTCTTGCAACTGGGTGAAATACATAAAAATCTTAAAATTGCTTTTACTTATTAACTGAGGCGTCGAAAATCAAAAAGTTTTACCGACAAAGATCGAAAACTTTAACCGACTACCGACAAAGTAACTGAATTTTAAAAAAACAGAACATTCAGCTTGATTGTAACAGCGGAGGTTTTGTCAAATGTATCAGGCGTTCTTTTTTCCCCTTTCCCCTAAAAATAGAACCGCTTGATTGCAGGTTTTGTCTATGTCAACCCGATTTGCCAACCCAAACGTATGCGTTACCTTATAACATGAAATTTTCGCGGCACGTTAATTTCGCGATACAAAAAAAAAATTCGCGAAATTAAAGTGACGCGAACATTATAATAAAAAAAGAACCGCAACGAGTTTATTGCCACTGAAACGTTCACAAAATCACCTTTTTTAGGGTTCATTTTTTCTCAGTTCAGAGTCTGTAGAAGAAATTTTCAGTGTAAATGGATGTTGTGGTCAATAGACCTTGTCACGGTTTTCGACGCCATCTTGACGGGTGGTGTACCATACAGTATACAGTACGTTCATGTACGTTCACCAGTCATAGCATAACATATACGATCACGAAGCTCCTCTGACAAGAGTGCTCGAAGATAGTGACAGAACTTAGTTACAACAAAACGTTCAAAGCTACGAAGAATTTTCACCATGGACTGCACACGCTGTACAAATTTGGTTCATGCTGAAAGATCCGTTCTAGTTTTCGAGTTTCATGTCGTAGTTTCGTTTATTCAAAAAAAATACATTTAGCATCATCTTGAGGTCGAACTATCTTAAGCCCACCAAAAATATGCGCCTCCTTTCAATAACATCAGTATTCATCAGTGGCTACAGTGAGTTTTTCACCCTGAAAGGTGTTAAATAAGGGCCCCGATCGCTATTTCGAACATTTACGGTATAATAATCATTTTTTTTTAAATATAGGGTTGAGTTTCTGATTATCAATTTTTTTCTGTAAACATGTGTAAACAGCTGTGGTTTACTGATAGCGGAGTTTTACCACACTCTTGCACACATCTAACTATGATCTCTCTGAGAAGGAGACCGTTGGGGACCAGATAGATGCTGTTTTACAGAGAGAATGTAGAGCGGCAAAAGCCAACTATAATTTATCCGTTAGAGAAGAGTTGACAAACTGCTTCAGATCAACTGTAAGCCAGGCGGTTGCCGTTTCACAACGTCAGTTGCCGTTGAGACTACTGGCCTTGATATCCGCATCAGATTTCCAACTGGCCTGAGGAAAACAACGAGCTTATAATCCTCGGCTTCCCTGTGTCTGAATATTTCCGTCATCTCAGACAGACAAAAAAGCAAGCAGTAATGGTAACCATCGTCCAAAGTTGTTCATAGGCACGTGACACACAATTTGGCAATGCTGGCGCATACTGCTCTAGAAGAGAAGGTGAAGATGACGTTCTTATCGCGTTTGGAACTGACTGTGTAACTGAGACACTGATGAATTGCGAAACGGTACTTAATAGTAGGAGACAACGGGCTGGCGACACGACAGAGTTTGATGGAAAGAAAATGGTGGGTGTTGAGACAATTCTAGATGTTGTGACACTTGGTCGATCTGAAGCAGCATGAAGGGTATGGCTTAGAACTGAAGATGATATACCTGAAAATAAAAGTATAACTAGAATTAGTTAATTAAACTAATGTTGACGTTTATCGAGTAACCGATACCGCTCTCTTCAGCTCACGAGTCGTCAACCCAAAGGCCGACTGGGAGCCACCTAACGCGGCCGCCTACATTTCTTGGGGTAAGGGAGCATGTGGCGCGAGACAAGGTTGAAATGTGAAAAGTGAAAAAAAAATGAAAGTTCCCACTCAGTCTAGACCTCCCTTTTACTTTTCTGGAATTAGTTTTTAACTGGGTCCCGTCTCCATGTTGGTGCCCCCATGTGCCACGCCTGGCTCTTGTGAGCTACCGCCCGACGCGCATTAGCCCAAGCTATAACCGGAGAAATTAATATGGCTCTTTTAAGCTCAGCTGGAAGAGACGTTGAAGTGGTCTGAGAGGTTTAAGTCTTTTAAGGCGGCTTGAACGTTAAATGTAAAGATGATAAATGAGACAAACGCATTTAACATCTGACGCCTTAAACGTGTTCTGTTAAGAGCGTCGTTCGGACGCACTTAACAGACGACTTGTCAAACGTTAAGTGCGTCTTGTATAAACACGGGACGCCAAACACTGCGACGCATTTACGACCAAATCGTCCAGAAACGATGCATTGGAAGAGTCAGTGTTTAGTCCCTTTTTTTCAACGTTGCTGTCTACTTTTATGCGTCATATTTTTACAACAAGCGACGACTTTAACGTCTCAGGCGTTTAAACATGCGTCCAGACAACATTACGGTCCTTTACGACGTTAAGGTCTCTAGCGATGAAACGGTTATAGTTGAGACTTCTCTTACTACAGACCACCTTTCTGACTGCGTACACGTTTGTTTTTTCGCGGTGAATTTGTTGTTGTTGTTGTTGTTGTTGTTTTTTTAAGCTTTATCATCCCGTAAGCGACCACATGCATGGCACGTAGTCAGATTTTCTACCGGTAGCTCTACGGGAGGTCGGAGGTATCACGTGACCTATGCGGACCTTCAACTCCCTCTAACCAAACTGCCCGCCATGTGGGCTGCACGCCACCATAATACTCGATCACGAAAATTCCTTCAACATAATCACCGACCACTCTTATTAAAAACACTTAATAATATAACAGTTAAAATTTCAGAAAGTTATATCATGATGTCAATATTATTACCTGATGAAGTATCGACAAAAATCCATATTCTTTCAACACGTACTGTGTTTCTCCTGTGTATTTTAACTATTATCTCACGGCCATCGTCTTCTTTTTGAACAAGAAACTCCAACGCCCCACCTGTCACATGAAAACGGTTTGTCCAGGGATCATGGCGGTTGTTGCTCCCTGTAAGCCGTTCACAACTTTTAGAATTGCAGTACGCAAATGTATTAGTTCCACTTGCGTCAGAAAAGTACATGTCTTCTACTTTATCCCACGCGGGCAGCCTGTCGAATAAGACTTTGGTCAAGTTAGCTTTTTCTGCTACCCGCTTACGAATGCCTGCAAGCACAGAGAAAGACATCACACTTATTGGAGCACGAAGAACCATCAACAAACGTAGCATTTTATGTCCAATTTTTACCCAACAGTGCTGCTTGAATTGGTGATCTAACTTATGAAAGTGTTTTACTTTAGGCGTGAGAAATGAGCGTAAAGCCCCCTCCACACTAATGCGTTTTCCTTTGAAAACGCATACATTTCGATGCGTTTAGGCCTTCTGTTCACACTAATACACCGAACGTTTACATCGAAAACGCGTCGATTTGAAAACGCTCTTGAAAGTGGGTAGAAACGAAAACGCATACATGTCGTATTAGTGTGGACTGTCCAAAACATACCGAATCAAAACGATGACCTAAATCATCGCAGGTGCGTGTGTTTGTAGCAAGCGCATAGAGTCCAACTTACGTCACAACGTGCAATTCTATCGCTTTCGAACGTTTTAGTGTGGACAGTCGAAAACGCATCAAAACGGTAGTGTGGACACGAATAGATCGATCGGTAGTGGGGACAGGGCCTAAGAGTGGCGGGTGGAAAACTAAAAAAGGTTAAGCACTTCCCTGGCCTGGGGGAGGGAACTCCCATTGGAAAACCGGAGAGGGGATATTATACATCTCACTTAGGGCTGTAGAAAAAGGACGACAGGGGAAAGATGACGGCAAAACTTGTGTGACAAGCGTGACAATAATAATGTGTGAAAAAATTTTCCGCCGAGCTTCGCCTTCCTCTGAACAGATCTTTCGTTAAAAGACCAGAACACAGTATTGTTGAGAATCTCTATGGGTATTTCCGACGAAAGGAAAGTCGCGGCGATCGCTAATACCGAAACGACGATCTTAGGGATGAAAGCGATGATCGCAGTATTGCCATTCCAATCAAGTTCTGCGTTAGTCATGCGATGAAGGCAAAGAAATCTGCCAAAAAGTCACAGTACTGCATTCATAGTTTTTGTTTTAATAAAGCTGCTGCTTTTTTGTTATTTTTTCGTTTCCTTCGTTGTCGTCGTGATTGTTCGAGCTCGCCAGGAGCGTTGCGACGAAATATGCGACGATTTCGTTCGACGATTCGATGAGAAACGCGTGACGAAAACGAGGTCCGCAGGTACCCACAGAGAGGATCATTGTTATTGAAGATCACTACAAAACTCTCAACTAATAGTCTTGTCACACAGAAATGCTTTGCCGCCCGCAGTCTTTCTGCCGTCCTGTTACTTACGTTCACTAATGCTATAACAAAAAATCAACAAAACTCACAGATGGCTGTAAAGCTGACTTTAAAGATGTGAACTCTCACGTCGTTCTTCAGTTCAACTTGAAATAAGAACTGGGTGTGGCCACCGGCGTTACCCCCAGCGCTATGTTCCAAAGTTATTAAAGTTCCATTATCACTAACTCGCACTTTTGTTCCATCTGATAATACTGGTTTTATCATCGTACAGACCGTAAGGCTTGTGCAGTAAATCACATCTGTCCAGTCGTTCTCAGAGTATCTCACTTTCCAGTAGTACTCAGTTACTGACGACGTCACCGCGGCTTTTCTCAGAGTTTCATCCCCAGATAAGATTAGTGTACCTTTGGAGCACGCTATAAGTTCTGTGATTCCTGCATGAAATGATAAATTGTACTCATAATCATAGAAAGCGCGCTAGATTAAAGTCTGCTACACAGCCGTTTTTAGTGTCGTCGGAGCCTTGCGTGACGACACTAAAAACGGCTGTGTAGCAGACTAGCTAGATTACGGTATTTGCATTCGTCGTTGCCCATCTTTTTCGTTGTTTTCTGTGCTTCCACTCAAGTAGCTTCAACCTCGTCCCCAGGGCGCTTTTCCCTGGCTTTGGGGGCGGGAAGCCAGGGAAAAGCTTAAGCGCCCTGGGGACGGGGTTGAAGTAGCTTGCAAGGCAGGCGTTTAAAGAGGAAAAAGGGAATTAAAGGAGCTATGTCAGGAGGACATTAATTGCTGTTTTAGGTCAATACTGTGCTGAAGTCATTACTTAGTACCTCGGACCCAGACACAAAATTTTCCTGTAGAGTTATGAAGAAGACATCATGAAGAAAATATCACACAAAATTTATCAGGGAGCACCAAGCATAATAATTTTTTTGGGTGATATTTGCAGACTTATCATTAATAAAGTCTTAAATACCAAAACTGGATCATTATTTTTAGAATTCAATTGATGTGAAGACAAGTTCCAGTGTTTTGAAAAGATAACAAATAGTGTGACGTAGCCCTTTTAAAGAATGCGAGAACATGATCGTCGCGCGAGGAGCAAGGCAAGGGAAGTAAAACGGGAAGGGTTCGTTCCCTCTTTCCTCGCGCGCCTAGTTCTCTTGGCTCTTTAAGTGAACCCCCGTGACTCAGAGCCGTGACTGCCGTGTATGTTTATCAATACTAGTGTGTTTCCTTTGAGGACAGTTTTAAAATCACAGCAGTGTTTTCATACTGCCAGACGAGACAAAATCTGCATTTTATACAGGCAGTTACCCTTAGTGCTTGGGGGCCCTAATGGAGTAAAATTCCTACAAGCAATATGGCTTTGAAATAGCGACATAAGACAGCTGAAATGGCGACAATCGACGCAAAGGAGGATTGAAACTGATTCAGGAACAAATCAAGACAGAATACAAATACAATTAATAAAATGGCTTCCTACTCAATACTTCAAAAGACGAGGTTTGAAATTCATTTAGGGACATGCGTACTTCCCGCCCTCCTTTTCCTACCACTCCAAAGAGGGCATGTATATTAAATTTCAGAGGTATCACTTCTTGAGAGGAAGTTGAAATTAAAATTCTTTTGGAAAGTTACAACGATGTTTGTTAAAAGTCATGTTATTATTTAATAAGATATGCTAATTTGCACGCCGCGGCTACTACAGATAAATAGGACATCAGAACTAAATCCAAATTATTGAAATGTGTGAGAGACAGGTCAAAATTCATAATTAAATTGATCGCGCTTCTAGAAAAACATGTTGCGCAGCATTAGGGATTATACTAGGATACGCTTTGATGCATGAGCTTTGATGCTTAGCGGTTCGCAGATAAGGCCACTACGAATGCATATACACCGACTGAGCAAGCACGCTTCGATCAGAACCACAAAAACACAGTGCCGAGTTGGAGTTGGACTGATCAGCCATTGTATGTTCCCATAATGGTTCAAGTGAGAGGCAGAAGTGTAATGTTTTGGTATAAGTTTCCCTCAGAAAGTATTCACTTGCGTACTCAACTCTCAGTGTTATGATTCATCATGCAATCCAGTGAAGGTCGTCTACTTACCACCCAAAAATGAAGCAGTATGCAAAATCACTGCCATCACCAAGTAAAACAAGCCATTTTTAAAATTCCTCGCCATCTGTTACTCGTTTTACTCTCTGACCCGAGTTTATATGAGTTAAATGTGTGGACACTTCTAAATCGGTGAGTTGACTGACTTTTGATCTTGTCATGGATGCGTTGACAATCAAACGATGACGTCACATTAGGTACATTTCCCTTCCCTAGTTTTAAAAATCTAAAGTAGTCAAACAATACTTACTCTTCACTGCCAAAATTTATCTTCTTCTGGTCACACCCAGAGAAAAATTCTCTCCTTATCTATTTTTTTTTTGTCATAGACGGCCAAGATGGCCATGAATGTCACATGCACGAACAAATGAAAGGATGGCGTTTTGAACTTCCTTTCTTGATTTTTTGAAGCTTTTTGATAGCATTGATACCTTATCGTGCGTCGCTTTTAGTTTTAACTAATTTTAACTCCCAGGGAAACTAGAAGCAATATAAGCAGAGAAATCATAGTGAAATTAAATTCAAGTATAATAAGTTCTTTACCAACTGACTCTCACGGCATGGAAAGGCTACTACTACAAATACACTTGTAGCTACCTTATAGATGTGTGCCAGGATATTAAATGTGCTAGTGAAAAACACTGGCTGCCACTGCGTGTGCTCCTAATGTTCGCGTCTTTAATATCTACAAACTAGTCTTAAAGAAAGAAACAGTGAAAAACTGCCCACTGGCCGCCAATGAGTGACAAGGTCATTGATCGTGCATGCATGGCGCTAGCTACCCACTTTGGGAGATGGCCGGTCAATATGTCTTCCACCGTATTTTTGGGACCTTTAAATTCAGGTGGCCAAGCCTACTGAATCGATTATCTGGATTAGTGGCCCTCATTTCATGTTTGTGTTTCGCAACAGCAAATGTAAAGAAAAACATTCATTTAGGAGGAATGTGAAAGATGAGTCTTTTTTAGTATTATACACCTTGGTACCGCTCCCGATACCTTCCCCTTTTACTCCGCATTCTTTGGTAGCATATCATTGGTTTTGATTCATCATTTCTCTGTTTACATAAACTCTCTCATTTTCTAAACCGGGTATAAAATTCAGCAATAGACACCCAGAATTTTTATTAACTTCCGCCCTCCCACCGGATTTATCACACAGTGAGTTATCACTCACATGAATTCTTCAGTCATTTTTGTTATCGGATGTGCTTTTATTTCTCATTTGCCTGCGCTTGTAAACCTTAACAAAGTGAATTCCGCTCCACTGATAACGTACGTTTTACGGGTGGAACATCTTTAGCGCGCTTTTGTTGGTGAGAAAATCTTACATGGAAAGGCAAGTAGGCACTGAAACTTTAATGAAATGCAAATAAAATAGATAGGTAATAGTCCTGCCAAAAGAAGCCCCAGGAAAGGAACTTAAGAATACTCGAGAACGTCCGATCATTTCTGAGGTGTCAGCTTCGAATCTTACGAAGGTGTCGGATTGACAAATAGTTCTGGTAACGACTGGATACTGAAAACTGCAACACAACCCTTTGTACCAAACTCAGTGGAATCTATATATCTTCACCGGCTTCTCGGAGAAAACATCACCGGGTTGGCTTGTTTTCCACAGGTTTTTTCTCTTAGTTGTGTATCTCCCACAAAAGCTAAAAGTGGTGCAGGCTTACGATAACCCTTAAAATCTTAATTAAAGCCGGCGAAGTTGAGCCGAACTGGTAAGAATTAGTATTAGCATTAAAAGAAAATTCAAAATGACGGACGAAGCCTACAGGTGAAGAACGGTCATTCAACAATTTTATTTGCTCTTACTAGAATTTTTACAAGATTACTTTTGATACTGACAGAAGCCCATGACTATGTGGTCTTGGGCTCCTGATATTGATGCGTAATCTTTACTCATAAATTTTTTGGTTTTAATTGAGGACAAAGTTATTTAGCAACGCCACAAAATTTTCCGAAATGCTTTATTTTCTTTAACACTTTGCATATTTTTGCTTCGGATCAAATAAAGGAAGAGGGTAACAAAATTTTTTTTTTAAGCAACTTTCGTCACAAAAAGCAATTTTTGACTTTGTTTTTGCAAGTTTTCAGCAACTTTTGGAGGAATTACTGGAAACTTTTTGAGAAATGTCGAGAAACTGGTGGAAAGTCCTAGTCTTAGCTTAGTTTTTGGAACCTTTAAATTTAGATGGACCGGGTGACAAGACTCGATCATACAAGTCGTCATTTTGTGTACGTGTTTCACTCCAACCAAAAAAAAACATTCATCAAAGAGGTGCGTGATCATTTTGAGTCATTCTGATACTTTAAACCCTTATCTTACCACTCCTAAGAGCTTTTTCTTTTTCTCCGCATTCTTTGGCAACATCTGTGCTTTTGTTTCATCAGTTCGGTGCTTACATAACCTCTTCATTTTCTATATCGAGTGAGAAATTTAGCAACTCGACACCAAGTTTTTTAACCTCCATTCTCTGCTAATTTATCGCGCAGTGAGTTATCAATAGCTCGAATTCTTCAGCGTCCGTTATTGTGTTGTTACTACGTAACCTGCGCTTATTTTTTCTTTTCTTCTTTCCTTCTTTTCTTCCTTCCTGTCCTCCTTCCTTTCTTTTTTGTGTTGTTGCTGTTGTTGTTGCATGTGCATTATAGCGTGACCTGATCTTTCATGCGCTTTTGTTGATGAGTCAGAGGAGTAAAAAAACCTTCACCAGGGAAGGCGAGAGGGCACTGAGACGGAAATTAAATCGAAGTGAATCGATAACGGCTGTGAAATGGTCCCGGAAAGAGAAACTCCAGAAAAGCTAGGTGTCAGATTCGAAATTAATGGCGAGCTTTACACAATGATACAATTCGGGTTATAACTACCTACCAAAACTGCACTATGACACATTAATTTATATACCGTATTTATTCGATTAACCGCCCTGGGCGCTTATTAAATTTTTGGACCTTGAGAGTGGGCGCTTATTCGAGGTGGGCGCTTATTCGAGGCTGGGCGCTTATTAAATTTTCACCATTTTCAGCAAGTGAAGTATGTTTATTTTGCAACAAAACAATAAATGCTAATAACAAAACGCGAAGAAGTAACAAAGCAAGGTTTCTGTAAAATACTCTGAAGAAAACTCCGTCCTCGGGAAAGTCTCTTATTAAAATTTATTCACTCAAGTGGGTGGGGTGGGGGTGAGCTCTTATTTGAGTTTGATTGGGAGGAGGAGGGGGTGGGCGCTTATTCGAGGCTGGGCGCTTATTAACTTTTTCTGCCATTAGGATGGGCGCTTATTCGAGGTGGGCGCTAATTCGAGGTTGGGCGCTTATTCGAGTAAATACGGTATGTTTTCTTTAGAAACAGTTTTCAGTCACTGGTTATAATTAATGCACGGCGTTACGACAATCGATAGAGGCAATCCAAACTGATTTGGCTGTTGAGCAGTTTGCCCCCACCCCTCCCCCCCCTGCTGAGAGCGGCCTCTGAATCAGTCCCAAAGCAACAAGAGAACTTTCTCGGCTATGGAGAATCGTCCGAAATTTTTCTCATACCGACATCTCTTATCTGCTGCATCTTTTGTGACTGGTATATATGATCCTAGCGAAGTACTGGTCGTCCAGCCTGACTTTGAACAAATCTTGGTCTTTAACGCCATGAGAGGAGGGGACGTTGGGGTACTTCGTTATGAAAACGATGGGGATACCCTTCGCCTTGCTTAGGGGTGCTAATTGTACTGCGTTTGGTCTTACTTAATACATAAATATCAGGCATCGCCTAGAATCTCAGGAAGGACAGGTGTCAAATATGAATCTAGTGCATTTATTCACTACTTTCACACACACCATAATGCACCTTCCAAAATTTTGCATAACCATTGTTTCCAGTTTCTCCTGGGCATTACAGTCGTCCTAATAGAAATCCAAGACAATGTTTATGCAGAGTTTTGGGGGGCAAACAAGGTGCACTATGGTTTACCTCAAAATGGTGAATAGCAAAATTGTTGAGGCCTGAGGGGGAGGGGAAGGGGCGACATTCGAGATCGTAAATATGCACTGAACAGAGGATTTGGCGATTCTGTGTTACGAGATTCGGGAAAATCAATGTTGTTCCGGTAATGATAGTGGGTTATTAAAAAAGTGGCTAACCGATGATCCTTTCATTTTGACTTTAATAAATAACAGAGTTAAAAGAAAATGGCCTCAATTTTCTCGACCCTGTTAAGTGCCCTCTTCAGCTGGGCTCCATGATTCTCGGACATGGCCGGAGAAGAGGGAATCTGGAGCCCGGGGGGGGAGTACTCCCTATATGGCCTATACGAAGATGTGCAGCTCCAGGGTACAGTTTTTTACCTCTCTGTCTTAAACAAAGTGTATAATTTTGTGAGTCTGTCCGAAGGGTACTGCCTGCATGATTGATTTGATTTCTTTGATGAATTTTGCTTGTACTTCAAGTAAACAAAAGCATGATGGCTTTAACGTGATTTTGCTCCCATCACTGGCTGTGAATTGCTAATAAACGGCTTTGAAACAAGACAGAGTGCAGTTTGTCCTTTGTACTGAACAGGGTGATGAAATGGAGGGTGTCGTCCTAAACAGGATATGTATTATAGGGTGAGTCAGGGTTTCAAGCCCTCTGCCAATTTGGAGTCCCGGGAGGCACATACCCACCCAAAAAATACCCAAGTGCCCCCTCTTTCCCTCGAGTGGATCACAGCCGATGATAACCCATCGGGATTACGGAATTAGGCGAAAATTTGGGTTGGGGATGACGGTAATAAAGGACTTTACATTTTGGTTCTTTTGGGGACCCTCAGCGAAGATCGGCAAAAGAATAGAAAGAAAGGTCATTTCACTTAAACTTTACATTGCGCCCATTAATCTCAGCTCGGTCGTTGACATTTGTTTAACCTAATCTTAAAAATCATATACCAACAACAATTCCTCTTTCAATATACTGCTTCAAAAGCAATTTCCACTGTTTATTTGCTTCCGCAGAATATTTTACGATATGCCGGAATATTTTCTTTGCGATCCATAATTGCCTTAATTGCCAATTTAATCAGTACCAATCTTCGAAATGATTCATTTCGCTTTGAATCGATCCTAAGCATCTTTATTCTCTCGAAGATGAAAAAGAAAAGCAAGTTAAGAGAAAGCGGCTGTATTGAGTTTGCAATTGAAATGTTTGTATATTTGTCATGTATTTGTGAAAAGCAAATGCCAGTGTCACGAACTCTCTACCCCCGCAAATTTATATACAACCAATCAATAACCGTCCAATCAGAATGCGTAAATTTCCTCCCTTCCCACGTGACGTAGTCAGTTACGTTAATCTTTGCCCAAACAATAAATCTCGAAACCTTTTTTATACACACAATTCACTTTGTGAATCGCTTTTTTTCGAGTTTATTGGAAACTTAAAGAACCTAACAAGCCGTTAAGTATCTGCGAGAGTGTTCATTTCATCAGTGGCGGACAATATGGAAGATAGTGAGAGATTTATTGACATTTTGCGAGGTGTGGACCTATAGATGTGCATCGACGAACGGCTTTGTTATTTTTAATTTTCGGCGGTGGAAATTTTATGTGGTTGGAGGGCATTTATGGCTGTATTGGTATGGCTTGATAAAGAAATCACTTAAGGTTTGGTTGTGTCTTAATATGTGGTTTTCTAGAAGCAATAACAAATCTTCATATGTGCAAAGTAATCTAATTGGAATTTCCTTAGGCAATGCAACCGTCAACTGAAACGCTGTACAAGGAGATTCCTATTCGAACTGTGGAATTGTACCGGAAACCTGAAGGTTTTGGCTTTACTCTTTCTAGCCAAGGACCTTGCGTGCTAAGTTGTATTTTAGCGGGAAGCCCCGCTCACAGAGCTGGTTTGAAGCCGGGTGATCAGATAATTGAAGTGAATGGAACCTCTGTACAGAAGACACCTCATGAACAAGTTGTCAAATTGATAGCAAGTTCGACGAACGGGATGGTTCGACTCGGGGTTCGAAAGCGTGCTGAGATTCAAAGAACAGCGGTGAATGGAGATAAAATCAACTATGAGATTTCAGAAGAAAAAGTAGTCGAAGAGGCAATAATCAACAGAGTGGATAAAGTCGTAGAAGAATTGAGGTCAGGGCAACTGTTCGGGGATTCTTCGAAACTCCGCCAAACTCTTTCCAGTGGAAAATTCATTTCCGCGGAAGAGGTCGTGAGTGACGAAGAGCTGAAAGCATCGTTTTGTGAAAGCATAAGGTCAGAAAGTTCTTTCCCGGGCTCTTCTCCTGCCCAGAGTTATGCCAGTAGCAGACGTTCCAGCGAAGGAGATGTCGGCTCAAATTCGTCTTCTCCACAGTTATCACGGCTGCTCTATCCAACTATGACGCCATTGAGAAATCACAGTCCAGCGGATATCGGTTTTGAACCGGAATTGCGAGTGATTGTCGGCTATTTAGGCTCAATTGAGTTGCCGGCTGCATCGAGTTTGCCAGCCGCAAGTTTGACCGCGATTCGTAATTGTGTACGCCGTCTGAGAGCGCAGCAGAAAGTTCACAATATTTTCGTCATGGAAATTTCATTGACAGGTATACAACTTGTTGACAGCGAGAAGAGATCTGTTGTCACGTACCCTTTGAAGTCGCTGGCCTTCACTGCGCTCTGTTCAGACGATAAAAGGGTCTTTGGTATTGTGACTAGAAAAAGTAATGAACCAGAAAAAGTTATTAACCCATTGAACAGCTGGCATGCCCAAAATAACAACAAAATTGATCTGCAAAGTACTGTAAATTGTTCTTGCCATGTGTTCTCAGTTGATCCTGAATTGAGAAGTCATGAGACTCACCAACATGTAGCTGAAAAGTACAGAATACGGTGCACCCCTCTGGGAGTAGACAGTGGCTGTGCTGAATTTCCTGGGTCATCCAGCACCATTCTAAAGACCATTACTGGAATGTTTAAGGAGAGAACAGGCTCTGAATCAGGTGGAACAAGTAGCGATGGGGAAGTGTTCACAAATGTGCGAGTACGGTCTGCATCATTGTCATCCAGTCAATCAGAGTCAGACGCTGTTAGACACTGCAATGATGTAACAAGTCAACCCCAGACAATTGACTTTGCAAACAATCAGGCAGTTAATGGACTTCAGCAAGATCTTCAGTCATCTCAGTCTATAAAACATATTTCACCTAATGATTCCAAAAATAGACAAAAAGGAGAAACGGACAAAGAACAAGAAGGAGTTATATCCTTCAATCAGCAAGTTCATCCTGCCGAGAGAAATGACTCTGGTATTGGATCTGATTCTTACCCTCAAAATGACACTGAAGCTGTCAATGGTGCTACTTTCTCCAAAGAAAGTAACTCTCGGAGACCTCCTCCCCCTGTGGTTAGTGTCTCATCATTTCATTCTCGTGAGAGCTCAGTAGATTCGCAGTTTTCAATGGGATCACATTATGATCCACTTGCTGCAGTGCCGTCTGGCATTCTAAGGAAACCGCGCAGAAACTCAGAAGGCGAACAGATGGGATCAAAAGAGAGACATCTCAGCAATTCTCAAGAGGTAAGCATCTACTATACAGTAAATTACACAGCGTCCGTACAGAATCTTGAATTCTTGAAAAAGTCTTGACATTTGTCCAGCAGTTTTCCAGACCCGGAAGACGTCTGGAAGAATGGTAAAAAGTCTTTTTTTTTTTTTGCAAAGCTCCGACAAATGCTTTAGAAGAGATTTTTTTTTCATTTTGGTCAAGTCTTATTCAAACTCACCCATATGTTTGCAGCACACCATGAAAATAGCTCCATTGATCATGTATTTGATAACCTTGAGTCTAGAAAGAGAAATATTGTTTTGAAGAAAGTCTGGAAAAAGTCTTGAATTTTAAATCCAAAAATCTGTATGGGTCCTGATTACAGTAAGCTTAGCTTATTATCAAGCACAGCTGTAAACTGACATACTAATAGTATTTATGCTCCAGATTGGTAAATTTGGCTCTGCAACAGTTAAATTTTGTGTTCAATTCAAAGTGCAGTATGCAACATTTCCCACACAGCTACTCTGCAATGAGACCACAAATTAATGTTTTGAATATTCCTCAATTTCATGATTCAAGTGACTAATAAACACAATGGTATATGGTACATGTCGGTGCAAATGTTTATTTTAAAGCACCAGAAATTCAATGTCAGTGATGACTCAGTCAGATGAAGGGGCTGTACTCTACCCTTACTTGCACCCCTGGTGTCTTACTTCTGCCCTTGGGTGACTAGGAAATCTTAGCTTTTGCATCGAAATCAAAATGCTGTTTACTGTACCCTGGATTTCACAGGTTCAGAGCACTGGTCTCCTTATATTTTTTTCAAGAGCAGAGCCTTGCCTGGTAGTCAGGCTTTTAGCCAGACATTGAAAACTGGCTGTCCAGAAGGCATGTTTTCCCTTAAAATAATTATAAGGGATTAAGTGAATTTTCCTTGTATATCTTCCAAAAATGGTTATCCATAGGATGGCTGGACACCCTTCTGGCTAAAACTTTGCTGATAGTGGTATTTAATTGAAAGGGAAGCACAATTTGTTGTTGTGAATGATGAATCACTTGTATTTAGCCTCAAACTTATGCATGACTGCCAAATACAGTAGTTGAGGTCACAGTAAAAAAAATAAGATGCTCAAGGAAATTCATCATGAATCAATATTATTTGACATGACGTTTTTTATGCGTCCTTACGAAGTACAGTAGATCCACATTTATAATTGTTACTCTGAATTCTGCTTTCCAACAGTTGAGTTAAACAAGCAGAATACTAATAATTTGAAACTGACTCGGCATCTTGATCAGGGGACAAATTTTGCCACACATAAATCAGGTGTGATGGGTTTAAAATTACTGCTGTTGAAACATTGCTCAACTGTTATTTGCGTAAGTGGCACTTTAGGTAGGGATTGAACTTGAAACAATAAAATGTTGACACTTCTTAATTGATTTATGTTTGCAGAGGCAATATTATTATGATTAATCAATAGGAATAGATCAGCATCACCTTTGTCATGTTTTTTGCAAAAGCTAAAGCAAAGGCAAGCACAAAATACCCAACAAAAATTACTTATTGTTGTGTACATTCAAAAAGTAATGTTTTAAAATGCCTGTGTTATGATACAGTGTAAGTCCAAACACTTTTTATGTTAGTTTAAGTTTTGAAATAGGAAACTTGTTTGCCTTTTACATGGCATCTTTACATAGTGAGTGAAGGTGAAATTGTTGAATATATGTCCTAGTTGATTAAGTATTGATTGTTTGGATAAGGCAGTTAATGTTATAAATTATTAATCCAGGATTTCTATACAATCTGTTTAAATAAAAAATGTTGTTTCAGTCTGTTATGTAATGTGTAAGGCTGAATTAGGCAAGAATTGGTTTAAGTTAAAAAATTTGTCAAATTCCTGATGTCTGTATGGGTACAGTAACATAATATGCTTTGAGGCATAAGTTTTTTGTCAACCTGTGTGACTGCTAGCAATGCGTAATGACTTCATAAAAGCTAAAACCTGTACCTGAAAGAAATCTCTGCCCATCTCATAATATTTCTAAACGTTCAAGCCATGGAACATGATTTTTTCTTTTAATAACTTGCTTTTAAATTCAGACGCAATCAGTAAAATTTACAGGTAAACTCAGAACCTCGTTTGGTAACAAGGCTTAAGTTTGCCTAAAATATTTTCATCAGTGTGCCCATCTACAGTGTTTAATAAATAGTAATTATTTTTTGTTTATTTTTTAGAAAGGATAAGTAGTCTTTAAACACATAGCTCTACTTGTACACTGTTACTTGCTGTAGTTGGGAAATATCTTTTAATGGATAAGGTTGATTTGAATTTTCTTTTTCTCTTGCCTGTGGTTTACTATGTGTACGTTGCGTTCATATATTGTATTTTGACAAAAATCATTTAAAATAAACAGCTTAAGTGCAATATTGTGAAACATGTGTCAAGGGTTCTAAACATCATGTCTTTTGCCTTTATAAGGGGAGCAATACATATTGTTGTAACTGTGTCCAACTCTTTTACAGTTTTTGTTTTTAAATAATAACTTTCCCAAGTACATCTGGTTAATTTAAGTTCAGGCTACATTAATATGCTAAATAAAAAAAGTTTTTGTGATATTTTTCCAACTTCAGTGAAAAGAATTAAGTCAGTGAGATATTTCATCCAATTAGTGATGTCTCCTAATAATGTGATGATTTAAAATAGTAATATAAAATTACATGTATCTGTTAAGGAAGCAAATTCTATTCTTTTCTTTGATGATATTCATTCATTAAGACCTTGATAAAAAGGAAGAAATTTAGATGAGGCATACTAGACGTAGCAAAGATATATTTTTGTATACAACTGCTTTAACTTAAATTATGCAGAATAAAAATATTGGACTTATTAGGAATTTAAACAAATTGACGATCATTAGCTGTAATAAATATTGGCATGAGATTCTTGAAAGTGATAAACAGTATCAACTTCAATTTTGATGATGAAATTCAACTAATTGGAATTTTAGTGGAGGGCATTTTCATCGCAGCTTCAGATGAACTATTTTTGTCTTTGGCTTCAGATAGGCTATTTTGGTCGTAAAACTTTTGTCCTTCGCTTCCCCTTTGAAGTATTGATCATTCAAGCAATAGACTAATCCGGGTATTCAATGATAATGCAAGCTACTTGGCATTCCCTTGGGATTTTTGTTAATGAAATTTGTAAACATAACTGAGATGTCATTGAGTTTTGCATTCCATTTGAAGACCACTGGAGCACTAATCAAGGCTATGTGTTACGTATGCCCAAAACAAAATGCATAAACGGAATTGCAGCTGGCTTTGTTTATGTCTAAGAGCCTTTCAAGGTCAGTGTGTTGTTTTTTGTAATTGTGTCATGAACAATAGCTCAATTCAAAAACAATACGATTTAGTCATGCAGTGAAACAAAAGCAGCAAACCCTAATAATATTTTTTTAAAATGGCTAATTGAGTTCAAGCTAGAGGCAAAAAATGCTTGCCTTGCTGAATATCATTGCCTTTATTTTTATTCCTCAAAGTTAGTTCGTTATTGTAAGGAATTTCAAGGGTTTTTTCCGGTGAAAAAGCCTGACTTCTGTTGACTGTATGTCGGCAGTATTCAATATTTGCATACCAGCATTTGATTATACAGTTATAATAAACTGAAAACAATTTCACTTCTGATGAGAGTTGTCTGAATAGAAATTGTTTAGAATTTGCCAAGCTATCTAACTACAGTGTAGTAAAGGAACAAAGTGTTGTTTATTATTCTAAAATTTAGTTGTCAAAACACTAGCTTCAGCATTCCCAAAAATCATGCTGCATTTTAAGCAATGTTATAAGTTCTATACAGTTGTACAGTTACACCCCAGTGGTTGTAAAGATCATAGACTCTGTTATTATAGTTATTTATAAATTAATGACATATGAAATTCACACTTTCAATAGATAAGTGCTTTCATTCAGTAATATTTGCCGACTCACATGAATATAATTAATTGAAAATAATTTGTGAATTATTTTTATTCAACGATACAGCCAGTGGAACTGCTCTTCAAGAACAGATTTACAAATTCCTCCCTAGTTATTAGATCACTTCCAGGGTTTGCTTCTTAAGAGTGGCTCCTTGTTTTGAGACAATACTGGTAGATACATGTTCATCTTACCTTAAGAATTGGCTTTGGGAGTACAGCTTCTTTTTAGAAAATAAATCAAGATCCTAGGAATGACTAATTTAAATTAGATGACTTTTTTGTGTAGTAATATACAAATAAATGTTTAATGCATCAATGTGCTTGTTGTCTCCCACTCTTGACATGACAACTAGTATCACTACCAAGGAAAGTTTGCATTTTTTTTTTCTAATCTAAATTTTCTGGAGTGAAATAATTGTATGTCAGGTCCTACATACTCTACAAACATTAGACTCGAAGGTTTGTGGAGTATGTCAGATGCCACACTTCATATGACACAACAATAATGAAGATATGCCTTGGGTTAACAAGTGATTATAGGGTACACAAGGCAGTCTTAGTAATACAAATACTTGTCTGACTCAACAGTAATAGCGATAATTATCATACCATCAGACTTGCATCATTTATAACCTTTTTATCCTTGTTTTCTTATATTTCAGTCCCTGGCTCATTCTGATATCGGTAAGTGCATGTGATATGTGTGCTTAAAGCTATTCTCTTCTAAGCATTTGTTGTATGTTGAATTGCAAGTTCTCATTTTATTAGAAGGGGTATTTATCTTTCGTCTCAGGGCAATGTCATCAAAAAAACATGAATTCCAGCATTGTCCTTGCAGGTTTGCTTGTCTGGGGTCATTGAAAGCATGTCTTTAAGTTTATGGTTAATTATGAGAAGGTGACATGCCTGGCTCATTGCTCATTGCTCACTTGCTCAGTGGGCAACTTAACATGAGAGGTTACTTGCCTGACAGGAAAATCTAGTCATCCCGCACAACTGGAATTGGACTTTTAAAAATGCTTCTTTATCTCTGATTAGCATCCAGGTGCGAGAAAGTGAGTGATAATGAGTTGCTTTTCAAGAGGGACACTAACTGGTATTTTAAGCTTTGATTTTTTTAAAGAGAGGTTTTCTTGAATAATCTGGAGTTTTTCATTTTCATTTTCTACTGGTTATGTGTTTGGTGAGTGCTTGTCAGGTGTACCTTTTCTGACAGTAAAATTTTCTTTTTTTTTTTTTTTTCATGATAAAAAAATGTTGGTTTCAGGTTTTTATTATATGCGCATATCCTCTCTTCATTTTTGCTCTTTTGGTCCATTCATAAAAAGGTTTAACCAAACCCTAACACTTCTGCATTTAATTTATTTTAAATCTATCTCAATGACCTCCACAATATTACTTATTTTGAAAACTAGAGTGAACATTTATTGAAATTTGTCCTTTTTGATCGTTTTAGCTTGTGGTTTTTGTGATTTTGACAACTGTAAACTGTAGTTTGACAGTTTTGTTGAGATGTTTTATTCAGTTTCTATGGGCTAATTTTTCCTTCTCTTCGTCTTATCCTATAAATTAAATTATAACCTGAATTACATGTACCAGTGGTAATATTTTTGCATACTTTGGTAAAAGTGCTAACCTTAATTTCTTGACTGAGTAAATGTGCCTTGAATCATTCAACAGTGTTAATTAGCAATACATGCTTGTGTTAAGTTCAAAACTGAAATGAATATTTTCTTGATTCCAATCACATGATCCCATTCTGATGACCTCATGACGGGAGCATTAAAATCTTGCTGTAACAAAAGTTGAATTTGTAACTGCTTGTAGCCCAGCCATCTGAAATAGAAAATTTTATTTCCTCAGATGACAGCTTTCTTATTCTTGGACTAATATCGTCTTTGCTTCCAAGAAAACTGTAATCCAAAGACATATGGCTGGCTATTTATACATTTCATAATATGAAAAATAATAATTGAAAGTTGAAGTTTACTCACGGCAGTGTGTGCAAGTGTCACTGGTACAGCCTTCATCATGGGAAATGGTATTGCTTGATTGTGAAAAGACCTTATATAGTGCTGTTGCACTTCTCTTTAAGTGACAGATCTTTTTCATTTTACTGAACTTGATTTGAAAACATAAATTTAGTATCACCAGTGTCATAAAATTATTTATACCATTCCCTGAGTTGTTATCAGGTGCTGTGACAACATGAATATTCTTGTTGTGGCTATTTTTTTGACAACTGTTGGGCAAACACTGGCAGGCAATTTGCTGCTTAATTTGGAATCTGTTGATGAATCAATGTTTTCTGAGTAACCCACACTCCAATGTAACCAGTGAATATGAGCTGTTTACCATCCAGTGGTTGTTGTTTGAATCACAATAATAGAATTCGCAACTTAAGTGGTTTCATTTTACAGTAAAACTTGTGATTTTGAAAGAGAGTTTTGTGAATGATAAAAGCTTGAGTCTTTTGTACTAACTCTGGTACAATTTTGATCACAGAAAACAACAGACGAAAAAATAACGGTGGCTAAATCAAATTGAGATACGAACTTAAGTTGATCTTAAAATGCTTGGTAAATAAAAAAATTGTCATTTAAAGAAAATTATATTTTGTATCCCTTACAGTCCTAGGTTGCTCATTAGTAAAGAAGAACTTAAATGCAACTGAAAGCATCTGTTCCAGCACTCAGAGCATTCATAGTTTAAGTAGCATGCCCGGTGACATGTCACAAGTCGATGGTCGCGTGAGTCGTTGGGCTCTTGGGTTTGACAAGCTGATGGAGGATCCTGCTGGTCTGGGCTGTTTCAAGGTAGTGTGCAATAATAGTAATATTATTATACGGTCTCGACCTCCATGTGCGACCACCTGTCATAAGGGACCACCTCTCATACGTGACCCAATCCTGATCCAAAATATCATGGTAAAATCACTACAGTAAGTTGTTCTCCTCTCTTAAGCGACTGTGACTACTTCATGGGATAACTGCTTTTGAATTTTCCATTGTTTTTATCCTTCTATATGCAAACGGTTAAGGCATGTATCATGTTTTAGTGGCAATATGAAGCTATGCATGCACATAACCGGTTATCTCCCAAAATAAACACAGGCCTCGTTTAGAGAGACACCCTGTGGGTCAGTTCCTTAAGCAACCACTGAATCTTCACATTTTGGATGATCCCTTACGAAAGGTTTGACTGTATTTACTTACAGTTTGAGACTGATTCAACTGCTTATTGGTGGTATCCTGGAAATTGAATCAAATTGAGAAAGATGCTCTATTTGACTTGAAATAATCTTAGTCAATGATTAGATTCAAAGCGATATCCTTAGGAAATTCTGATAGGGACCTCTAACCACTGGGAGGTAAACTTCTTCTGAAACCTCAGTGAGGGTCTTGGTCAGCAAACTAAACTACCCCTCAATAAGCACTGTGCCTGGTCTCATATGCATGTCTAGTTTGTGAAAGCTGTATTCACCACTTTGAGGTTGCGCGGGAGACCGGGTCGAGATGGTTGTCAAAGTGCATTGTGGGGACTGTTTTGGGGGACAAATTTGCCACCATGTTGAAAATGTGTTCCTCAAAACAGTCCCACAATGCCCTTCGGCAACCATCGTCGTGACCTGGTCTCCCATGCAACCTCAAAGTGGCAAATACCCTTGCCATATACTTTACTGCACTTTTGAAATACACCATTAACTGCAGTGTATTATCCACACTAAGCAGGGTTAGGGATGGTTTTTGTGCATGCAAATTTTGGTGACTCTTATTATTTTCGCAACATCAAATTTTTACAGTTAATGCAAAATTGTAAACTTTATTTAAGTGTTGCAAAAGTAAAGTGAGATATGGTATGTTCCTTGATCCATTCATGCGTATTTCATACATGTCTCTTTTTCAGAAAACTGTTATCTTAAAGCCTTCTCTTTTGCCTCACAGGAGTTCTTGAAGAAAGAATTCAGTGATGAAAACATTGTCTTCTGGATTGCATGTGAAAACTTTAGAAACCTCACTGAGTTTGAACAGGTGGGTTGTACTGGATTAACATCAATAATGACCAGTGTCACTATAAAATCGCATGGTCTACTGTAAATTTCATTGCCATAATTTGCGTGCAGGTAGAATTCACCTTCCAGTAACTAAACCATCTGAAAACGGTCAAGCAAGTTCCTCTCAATCTATTCAATGCATAGTGAAGATTTTAGACCTCCTGATGATAATGATAATTTATTAACATTCATTTATAACATTTAACAAAAACATCACAAATCATATACCAGTATTTTAGTAATTTTAAAGGGCCATTCCGTTCAGGATTCATCAGCCCCTGTATGGTTATAAGCCCTCCTAAACCCCTTATGAAGTAACCCCTTATACAGAGCAGACGTTTGTGGTATGAATGTGATTATCACATTATTGACATGATTGTTCATTTCTCCTTCTTTCATGTACCAGCTGAAATTTGAAGCAGAGAACATCTTCCACAATCATCTTGCCCCCAATGCTCCAATGCCTGTTAATATTGACAGCAATGCTGTGAAAGATGCCGAGGAACAACTGCAAAACCCAAATAGTGATATGTTTCGTCTTCAGCAACAACAGGTTTGAAAAAAAAAATTCTGTTTTCATAAAATTAAATCTGCTTATGTTTAAACAATTATTGAAATCTCCAAATTCTCCGTGTGAAGTTTGTGTCATAAAGAGCTCATTGTAATGGAGAGAGTCTATTTATGACATTGCATTGTGATAGGTAAGGCTGTTATAACCACATATGCCTCTCGAAACTTTAGCTTCTCTATCAACTGAAGTTGATAAAACCAAATCTTTGTAGTATTCTAACAGTCTAAATATTGTTGGGTGTACCTGAAACTGGCCATATCTTGAACTAACCCATTGTGTGAAATTTGTAATGATTTCTGTAAGTAATTTAATTGAAATAGGCCATTTTGTGAGTTGTCCTAAGTCCCTGTTTCAAACCTAGACAAAGCGCAAAGCCATTAACCCTTTAAGCCCCAGTATCTACATACAAATTCTCCAAACTGATATCTATACATTTCCTTAAAGAATGAGTTTAGAGAATTTGTTAAAAGATCAAGGCATTTTTACTTAGGTGATCATTTTATTAATTCTCATAACTTATCTGTTGACAATGTATGGATATTGACAGGAGAAAATTGATGTTGGTCACCATTGGGACTTAAAGGGTTAATGTGCCAATGATTTTTTGTTCTCATGCAAATAAAACTCATTTTCACAAGAAAGGTTTCGCAGTTAGCCTCGTTGTGAAAGTGAGAGTTTCTGGAACTCGGAAGTGGCCTGTTATAGGTAAGACCTACTCTGACTAACATGAGTTAAGAGAACAAGGTTGTTTGTTCCAGGTTTACACGCTGATGAAATTTGACAGCTACCCTCGCTTTCTAAAGTCTGATGTTTACAGGCAGAGCCTTGCAGCTGACTTGGAAGGAGCACCCCTCCCTGGGGAAGAGGGAGAAGAGGACAGAGAATTGAAAACAAGAGGCAGCTTCTTTTGGAAGGTAGGAAGCAGGGGCAGGGTCCAGACAATTCATGAAGGGACAGCGGGAACACTTGCCATTAGAGTTCCAGTAGCTCAGTGGTTAGAGCATCCGAACTAGAACTTGGAGGGTCGTGAGTTCGATGCTCACCTGGAGCTCGGAAATTTTTCTGAGCTTTCTGGTGTTTGAATTCTCCTTGTTCTTTAATATGTACGTGTAGATCTACAGAAAGGTGGGTGGGTCCACTTGGCTGACCCCTAGATCCGCTTATACAAGGTGTTGGGGGAAGTGCTAAATTCAGAAAGGGGTGGCCGGGAAACTTGACAGCTATTTAGATACTCTGAAATAGTTACTGAGAAGTCTATAAAAATAAGGGTATGACCTTAGTGCCCTTGACCAACTCCTTAATCCGCCCATGCCTACAGCACTTGACTTTAAAAGTACCCTTGAAGCTTCTGGTGCAACCAGCTGGGGGCAAAATTTAATATTGGAAACAATGGTTATGGGAAATTTGGAGGAGTGGGTAAACGAGGTACATTATGGTCTCGGTGAAAATGGCAAATTCTTGTCATTTTCATTTTTGTACATGTTATAATAAAACTAAGAAATGTCAACACATTAAAATCTGTTTTCTTTGATACCGCAATAAATCAATAAAATAATACCTAAGTCTTGTAGTTCTTCTTTTTTTTTCATTAGTTTTTATTTTACTGAGCCTAAGATCAATCATTTTGTTAAAGAAGAAGTTAGAAAAATATGATTAAAAGAAACGTTTTAGTTTAATTTTCTTTTTAAATACTTGATAACACAAGTTAATTATAACTGTATGAATGATTTGCTACTCGCTTTATTAAGCCTATAAACCTTCATAAAGACCTTATTCAATTTCTTCTCGTAATACCACTGCGTGAAAACCATTTAGATGGTGAGAATAAAGGAAGTGACCACCAAAGATAAAATTCTCGATTTGTATACAGTTTTTCCTAATGAGCATCAAAATTTTTTTTGAGATTAGTGTTAAAAATTTATGTGCTTGGATTTTTTAGTATCAGAAACATTTGGGCTCTTACGTTGTACTAGTATTTTGAAGTTCAACTTAACTTTTGAACTTGAAATAAACTGTAAGAATTAAATGAATTTAAAATGCCATAAACCATAACTACAAGATTGCCTATAACATTGACTTTCTAGATTCCTTTTCTTTATCCGTCCTCTGAGGAATCGGAATTTTCCAGCGGCAGCAGTAGAAGCAGTTTTAGTCTTGAAGGACAGGTAAACAAACTATGTAAAATTAATAAGTTAAAGTTTTTTCTTCCTGATACCGGTAACATCTATTTATTCCCAGTGTTCCCCGTTTCTCTTTAACGAGAGGGACTATGGTATAGTATTACTGAAAATCAAACTAAATGGAGTAGTAATTTAAAACCTGGATCCTTTCATCGAAGCATTCGTTTGATCTTGTTGATAAATTTATGAAATAACGGTAAATAGATAAACCACAATTTGATTAATAAAATGAACTGTACCCTAGCAGCACTGTAGCAGCAGTCCATCACTTCATTGATTCGTTGATAAATTTATGAAATAACGGTAAATAGATAAACCACAATTTGATTAATAAAATGAACTGTACCCTAGCAGCACTGTAGCAGCAGTCCATCACTTCATAGGCTCCTGACTCTAGCCATAAACACGGTTCCTTGGTAGTTGTGGTGGTGGAAGGGGGTGTTGTGGAGAGATGCATGGGTAAACAGCCCAATCACAGATTAATTAGTCTTTCATAACAAGTAATGATCAAATTGTTCAGTCAATAATTTTTCCAAAGCTTGCGAGCACGGTGTGTGGGTAGCGTTAGTTTATAAGGCCGAAAATTGAAGATTTCAAGATTTCGCTGGAAGATGCAGTGAAAGCTTAAGACTGAAGAGGTTAGAAACAAATCTGATTAAAACCTAGGTAGCGAGAACGTTTTGGCGCGAGCTCACGTGAAAACGCTTGCTATCCGCTGCAGGCTCACCTGAATGCGAAAATAGGCTGACGTGAAACAATAAGAATTTTTTGCGCGTGGTGTGATTCTTTCACGCGAGGATAAGTGCCCTCACTTTATGTGTATGGGCGTTTTAAACTTTCCCTTTGGCCTTAGTGTCAAAACAGTGGGGTAAATAGCCTGCGTGGCAGGCGTTCGAAAGGGAAGGGGAAGGGAATTAGGGCGCGAGACCATGCGTGCCCTCGCGTACCCCACGCGCTTTCGCGCGCCCAAATTCCCCCTTCCCCTTCCCCTTCCCCTTTTAACGCCTGCCACACAGGCTATGGGGTAAAGTGCCCGTAACACCGCCGTTTAATCATTCCATTATTGAGGAAGAGCGCATATTAGGAAGTTAATGATTTCCTGAAACTTTGAATAACAGTGAGAAGTAACTCACTGGACTGAGGCGGTATTTATTTGCACCTTGAACTTTAACGGCCTAGTTAGCTCAGTTGGGAGAGCGCCGGTCTGCTGAGCGGGAGGAAACACTCGGGCCGAGGGTCTTCAAATAACTGAGAAGCACTTTCGTTTATCTGGTTGTTGTGGGACGTAAAAGAACCCACACCACTGTTCGAAAAGAAAAAGGGACGTAGACCCCGGTAGTGTGGCCAACGTTTTCTGGGCTGCGTTGGTTATCTGTAAGGAGAGATCTTTAAAATATAGGGATAACTTCATGATCCTCCTTCAGGTGTCGTAATGGCTACCTGTAAACATGGTATGTACATTATGTATGTTGAATTATCCTGGACTCACAGAAGTCTTTGTTTTACTTTTTAGCGCTCAGTCCGCCGCAGCCGAGGAAGTAAACACAGCAGCAAACGATCATCTAAAGGAGTAGACGGAGAAAGAAAAAAAGCTTTTCTACCTTGGAAAGGTAAATTAAGATCTCGTTGGTTTCTTGTGAGCTTACCTTCCCTCGGTTAACTTCTCCGCGTTACTTTTTTTGTACTATCGTAGGGCCTCTTCACATGAGCCTGGTTGACTGGGCTGGCCCGATTTCCGAGATCTCGCGTTACCTCTAAATCCTTTGTAAAATTTTCAATAGGGCCATTTATACGGGGAAAAATAAGACGCGAACTTTCCATTTAAACGGCACATTTTGGCTAAAATTACACGCGACTTAGCTAAGACGCGTCTTATTTTTAGAACAGCTCTTAAAACCTGTTCTTAGATGAGAGGCGTCTTAGCCAAGACGAGAAAAACTTCGTATAACTGACCTTTGCGTCATAATACGCATGCCTTAATTTTTGTGGGAAAATTTTCGCTTGCCCAGCGGCGGACTGGCAGGCTACTGGCAGGGAAAAGTTGTTTACAAATTACAACGCGTTTTCGTTTCCTTGGGTTGCCATCTATTCTAAGACTTTTAAGCTTTATTTGTTTCTTCGCTCAATTATAATGAGCCTGACTCAGGCTCATTATACTTGAGCGAAGAAACAAACCACTCCGTCGATCTCCTTCTTCCCCTTTTTCTCGGGCTCCTTCTGAACTTTTCCAGGAGAGCATTGTTTTTTTTATAATTCTGCGACAAATAAGCGCTTTTGTCATATAAGAAGACTCCCCCATTTTCATTAAAAAGGTCTTCAAAATATTGCCTCTGCGGCAAATCGCAACATGACGCAGTAACTTTGAAACGCGGCCATGTTGGAGTGCCCTTGCTGCGGGCAACATTCACATGAAAACGAGTCAAGAACAGAAATAATACGTGAACCAATTTTATACGAGCTGCTTTCGTCTTAGATAAGGCATGCTCGTATAAATGGTACAGTCTGCGTCTTATGTAAGACGCGTCTTACTTTTTTTCCTCGTATAAACTGCCCTAATGCGTTCATTTGAGAGGGCGGGCTGGCTCTGTTCGCGAGATCTCGGTTCTTCCAACCGGTATCTCGGTAAGCGGACTGGAAAATTTTGCCATATAAACACTTCAGCCCGGTTACCGGGATAAAAGTGGGATGAATTCTTTGAAACAGGATGACATCGTCCTGCTTTGCCTGCTGTACTTTCCACATCCTAAGCATCCCATTTAACTGCAGTTATACAAATATAAGAGTTGCCAAAGCTTGCTTTGTTTCTCGACTTTCCGCGCCAGAATTCATCCCTGCATCTTCGTCCTTATCTCATATCGGAAACCGGGTTGAATATGAGAAATTTCAACTCAGTTCATATTATGAACCCAGGGTGAAATTGGTTCAAGTAAGCGGGCCAGCCCGGTCAACCGGGCTCACGTGAAGAGGCCCTTAACCCTTTAAGCCCCAATATCCACATATAAATTCTCCAAACTTATCTCCATACATTTCCTTTAAGAATAAGTTGAGAGAATTTGATAGCAGATCAAAGTCTTTTTAGTGATCATTTCATAAATTCTCATAACCTAATCTCTTTACAAGGTATGAATATTGCTGGGAGAAAATTGATGTTGGTCACCATTGGGACTTAAAGGGTTAATCTCCCCCCTGCGATTGGTTTGCGGGCGAGCCGTCTCGTTGTCAAGGCATATTTTCCCTGCTCCTATACCAAACACATATTTTGTAGCGGTTGCTCTTTCGTCTTATATTGGTCTTGTTTTTTCCGAAATTTCTTTCATTGGAGAGGACAATTGTCTCTTTATCAGCAGTGCTTTTATATTTTTTAAAATAGATCAGCTTATTCTGGTTGTTAAAAAAAAAACGTGCGTTATCTTATTTGTCTTAAAACTTGTGAACTTTTGCATTTTTAACTCTGTTTTTCTTAGCCACTAACTTTTGTGCTAGTATTACCACGTGAGGCTGATATCGATATTTCATGTTTAACTGCAATAAATTTCTTTCCTCTCCCCCTTCAAGATTCTTTTGTGTTTCAATTAGAGCAGACATGATTTTCATTTGTTTAATACTGGATTTTATCGCGAGCTAAAAATATTCTGTTCTTCAGTTAACCTTCAATTTAAACAGCTTTCGATGCTCTTTTTAAGTCAGTGTATCACTTGCCTCCCCAATATGTTTTCGTGTTTTTGTCTTTATTATTCTTGGTAATGTCATCTCTTACGATTTTTTAGTCACTATTTTAATGGAAAGTCATTTCGTCATTTAGGCATGATTTAGTTCCTGCGACCAAGATATTCATTGGAAAAAAATACGTTTATCTTTAAATCTTTACGCAGTAAAAGCATCTTAAAAGATCCATTTGTTCTTTTATCCCCTCGAAACATTACCGTTTACAAGTGAAAAAAGACTCTTTTGTTTAAAGGAACAATTCCTAGGTATTTATAGCCAGCTTAATGGTCGTTAACTGCCGTAGAAAGGATATTGCTATTGTTTTGGAGTACTTGAATACTAATAATGCCCCTCCTTCGATTTTACAGGCAAACACGTCAAAAAAGGTTAGTAATGATTGCTCATTTGCACATCCGCCGTATTTTTGTTAAACAAATCGCGACGTTAGTCTTATTTTATTGCCTGAAAAAAATCATTTGTCGGCTTATACCTAGTGAACAACTTTTTTAAATGCTACGAGGACGTTCGAAATGTTGAAGTTTCAAATCACAAGAAAGACTGAGTATCTCTACGTCAACACGCTAGGATTTAACTCTTATAGCCACAGTGAGTTACAAACGCTGAACGCTTCTCTCGGCTATTTTTTCCTACTGTCACTGACGCTTGAATTTCTTCCCATATCAAGCATTGATCTCCATGAGAATTAATTTGTTTGAATTTTAAGCTGTCTTAGACTTAATAACTTTGACTTAATCCCTCTTCTCTTGCAATGGTGCGATTAAAATTTGTTCAAGTGTTTTGATTTTTGTACTTTTAAATGTTCATAACGTTTTTATCCTTACACAGGTGACAGGTCATTTGGGAGCCAGCCCGGGAGTGCTCGAAGCTCCATTTCATCGTTGTCAGATTCATTTCAGAATATCAGCCACTCGTCCGAGGTTCGTGTTTTTTAAATACCTTTTTTTACCTCTCGCGTCACGCAAACGAACAATGTGCCTATTACGAAGCTTGCATCGCGCGTGTTTTACATATCGCGCGCGTTAAGCCGTTGACATGACCCCATGGTTTTACCGTATCCCATTGCGGACTGTTATCGGATTGTACTCGCACACACCATCTGCTGAATAATCGTGCCACTCAAGTGGAATAAATTACTAATCCTGATCAACAAAGGTGACTCTTAAATGTCATGTCTACCCTCTAGTACGTGGCTAACGTTTTGAGTCACGATCAAAGCTCTTGTAAGCGATTTCCTAAGGAGTTTATAAAAGCGGACGCAACTAGAGCTGGCCACAGTTGTTCATAAAGTGGTTAACGCCATCCGCTGGATAGTGCAAGTGGTTCCCTAATTGGTTCCGGTTACTTTTTTTCGGAGTTTGTTCCACCGACTCAATAGTTGACATATGTATCCTGGACGGCTAAGAACAAAGAGTTGAACAATTCTTGATGAAGTTTAACCATTTTTCCGTTCGTTTCACATTGTTAGTCTTTACATGCAGACCAAAGAAGAGAAAGCGAGGCATTTCAGTTCTGCAGAGTTGTGTTACCCGACCAGTCATCCACGATTCTGCTGTGTAAGGAAGGACAGACACTACGACAAGCCTTGGTTCACTTGTGCGACAGGAGACACCTCTCGCTGGTTGCTCACGAAGTGTATCTTGGTGGCGGAGACAAGGTAATGTCACGAAACACTTCGATACTTGTTATTTATCTTTTTTCGTGATGTTTCCCAAGTAAGAGTGCTTTATATCGAGCTAGTTTAGTGGTCTCGCCTATAATTCATGCTCTCTGCGTTGAGTTGGGTTGATTGATTATACCGGAAGACTGTCCGAATACAGTCAGCCCTCAAGTTGGAAAGGCAAAAGAGGCTTTCTTATAAGTTACGGAAGATTGTATTTGAGAATTGTCCGAAAAAGTATATTTCATTGCTGTTGGTTTTAAAAGTTGCGCATTTAGAGATTTTGCATTGTCGCGAATTTCTGTTAAATACTCCTGTTATCATTTTCAAATTTTTGTCCAGTTGTAAACCCAGTCGGAATTTGAGACATAAACGCCCCCCCCCCCTTTCCCCCTTATAAGACCCTCTAAAAAGTCTTTGAAAAACGTTAACCCCTCGGGGCTGCCTTATTTTCGGGTCTTATTTTAAGTTGTTTCTTTCGTGGTTTGTTATAAACAAGGAGGGAAATGCACGCATTGGGTTGTCCATTAATGAATTGCCACTGGATAACTTTGTTGATAGGATTGATCAAGTGAAAAAACGTTCAGGCCGACCATTTTTTTTTGGTTTGATTTTACAGCTTGTACCTCTAGAGGAACTTGATGAAGACATGTCCATTATGGGCGGCAGGGAGGTGGTACTGGAACATAGAACACTGTTCAGGTAAACATTCATCCATCCATCCATCCATTCATTCATTCATTCATTCATTCATTCATTCATTTTGCCGTTATTCGGTATCTGTATAAACTGAGTGATGCGTTACGCTGTCCTTGGAAGTAAATAAACTGTTTACTGGCTTACTGGTACCAGGCTATTTTCATTTCTATCCAGTAGTCAAACTTTAGTGGCCTACGTGTGACCGTACTCTCCGACTGGAAGTACCCCACCTTTTTTCGTTCTTCGGGGGCAAAGTGCAGCCGCTCGCAGGCTAAGCTTTGGGTTTGTTGTATTTGCCTTGTTTGTGATCGCAAGACTCGTCTTCAATAGATCAATTTCGATATATTAAAATTCATACTTGGCTCCGAGGCTTGGGGGAATAAAACAAGAGAAGTGTATTATTTATTACTGAGCCTCAAGATGATTTTTTTTTTCTTGAAGCCTCGCAGCCAAGAATGAATTTTAATATATTGAAATTGGTCTATTGGGGGCACGAAAAATCTCGAGCTCCCACACCATCCATGGACCTCCTTTCAATCAATTTTGCTCTGACGCGCTTGATGATCAGTAAGACAAATCTGCAATTCAAAGTAGACAGACTGCAAATTATAGTAGTTGCTGAAAAATATATCTACGCGTCCCAACTGTTCATCGGTAGGATTCCTAAAATGCGTCAATAATCGTTCTGTTGAGGACCTTACTAATCACGTGTTTCACTGGTATTGTTTTGCAGACTAGAGCTCCCGGATGGAGTGACACTTTGTATAAAAGTCAAACCAAATCAGAGTGTGAGGGCGTGTCTGGAGCCCATTCTCTCCCGGCATGGCTTGTCAACTGATAGAGTCATTGCGCATTTGGTGAGGAACAAGTTATAGACCTTTTTAGCTTGTATGTTGTGTTTTCCCTTTTCAGAATATGTGATGTTACCTCAGAGAACTGTTTTTTTAAGTGTCGTCTTATCCGCGTTCATATCTATCCATAAGTTATGGACACCTTAAAGACAAAAGGCACATTCCCTATAGAACGTCACGTGCTCTGAACAACCGAATATCACCTTATTAGCTGCTGATAACCTATAGTGAATTATTGTCCAGTAACATCTAAACAGAATGATAAAACTTTGTTCTTCTCTTGCTGCTTCAGGCGGAGTGTGAAGTACCGTTAGATCCAGGTATCCCTGCGGCATCAATTGAACATCAGCAGGTGGTGGTAGAGATCGCTGAACAATTTGCAGGTACATAGCTATTTGATATGAACTCGTCCCCAGAGCATTCTCCTCTCACAATTTTTGACGTGCTCGTTCCCAGGATCCTCTCTTTTCTCTTTATCGAGGGACTGGGAAAGCTTCTTTTTACTTTTTTTGACCAGAGAAAGTTAGCACTGTTATCTTTATCGAAGAAAATGACAAAACTTCTAACATTTGATAACTTGTTTCCACCACCATGGCATTCTCGTTATTAATAACCAGCAGTAGAATGACGACGGCTTTCGCCTTTTCCGCCAAAACGACGCTGGTTCACGCGCGCGAACTACTTGTCATTGGTATTGAGAAAATCAGATTTCGTTCTTGTAGTTGTCGTTGTCTTAGAAACTTAAGATCTCTATTCCAGATCGCCCTGCGTCTCGCAACAAAAAATTGGCTGTAGGCGTTGTAGGGTCAGTGAAAGATATTGTGACTCAAGTCATCTGCGATCAGAAATTAGACAACCTAAGACAACCTGTAATCTTTCCAGAGCTCTCCTTTACAATAACATTTTGCTTTCTCAGTCACAATAAAACATCAGCGTTGTTTTGAAATCCGGCGTTCTCTCTAGGAGGTTTGCCACTATTAGCGCCTTCTGTTCGTGATTTAATCAGGCGCCATCAGGGAGGCATATAAGTAGCGATTAACATACATGACGCGTTTCGCTGCGAATCAACCATTACTCAATGGTTATCTTGATGTGTTCACCGCGCCACACGACAACATAGCGGTGAGCCAGCATCACCGTTGCTTCCCGGTTGCAAACCTTTTGAGATTTTTGTAGGCTCTGAAAATGTTGAAATTTGCCGTTAGTGGTAAGTCCCGTCAAACCGCTTTGTTTTTCTTAATTTTGATTATCAAAGTGAGCGTCACTCACCGTCGATGTCAAATTTTAGTTTCCGCGGTCGACTTCCTTTGTATTTTTCACCCGTGTCTAAACCTTTTCTATGCAAGTTTCAGAGTCATTTTCGACGCGATGTCAGGCTTTACATTTTGTTAAATTGTTATGTTTTTCGGGGCTAGTGAGAGAACAATGTGACATTATGAAGTCTAAACATTTTCGAAAAGCAACGTACGCCATTTGCTTTACTTTTGCAAATTATTTTTTTTTCTGTTAAGCAAAGTTTGACTATCTTATCCCTTTGAAAATAGAAATGACCGTGACAAATTTTTGTTTTATATTTGCAATTCTTGTTCATTTTTACAGCCTAAGCCTTTGTTTACAATGTTTATGTCTGTTGGGCAAGTGAAGCCGAAAGCAGGTGGCCCCATTCACTAAGAATCGCGTTTGTTGATTTTTTAAATTAACTGTTTTTCTTTTTCCAGCAGTTATCATAGTCTTTATTGTGTTCACTATTATTCAATCAATTATTTGAAGGTTACGTATGGATTATTTATTTTGTTGTAAGAAAAATAAATTCGAAATGTCATTGTATAAGACTTCACTTAGGCCCTTATTGTAAGGTGTAGTTTTTATTTCCTCTGTTTATATGCTCGACATAGTCTAGTCAAAGAGACCGTTTGCTAATCGAAAAGCTTTATGCACAATCGAAATGTTTTGGGTTATGAATTCCGGATTCGTTTTAAACTAATAATTCCAAGTTTTCTTCAATTTCAAGGAAGTAATTGTGAGTGTTGAAAACAACAACTTAAAATACCTTCGACAGAGATCCTCTAAGTCTCTTCTCACAAAAGCATACGCCGGTCGGTCAGCTATTGATCACATGATCTACAGTACGGTTTTGTTAGCACACTGCACATCGATTGATTAGTCTTCTACTCTGTTTTGCGCCAATAATTTACCCTTTGAGCATTTTGAGCTGCACTTGATTATAACTCTTCATTTAAACGAGTTACACATTTGGTTTGCTATTGTCATAAAATTCTAAAGTTTTTATTCTTTTCTGTCTTTGTAAGAACTTTTGCCCGTCAGAAGTCGCGCGTCACTCAGCCAATTCTTTTCAGATGTAATAAATGACTGCGTTGCTGAAGACAGGTCGATGACAAAAATAAACGACTCAGTTTGTATAAGACAATACCATTCGAATCGTGCTCTTTTTTTTCTAAATTTCTTGGTGCAGGTTAAAGTTGCCTGTATCCCTATAATTCCACTGTCTCTCCCGAAAAAGTAACTATAGCCCTGGTGCTATTTTTCACCCCAAATCGTTTTTAATTAAATTTATTGTCGGGATTGCTTATTATCGGAGAGTTTCCTTTCCTATGTAGATATTGTTTGGCTCGCATGCATTTGCCTGTTTCTTTACACGAATAAACACTTGTGACACGTTTGATCATATAAAGTTGAAAAAAATCACCCCAGAATTCAAGTAGAACCAGCGGTGGGTGTCATCTTAGATTTGCAACTGAATTGAACTGTTGTTTTCCTATATCGATCGTAAATCTCATAGGTTTTTTTGTCAGAGGCCTGGTATTTTGAAGTCCCGTCAATTTTATTTAGAAATTGTATGATTCTATATCTAAACCGAATTATAGGATCTTTGATCCTCGATCCTGGTTTTCCAGGAAACCGTCAAGCTTACGTGGTTTGGATATGTTTAAGTATCGACTCCTTTACCCTCACCCCCCTAAGGGGAAATAGCATGCCATGTCCATGTCTTTAATTCGTTGTTTTGTTGTATTTTTTAAGGGAATGCGAACACATCCTCCCGTGTTCCTGGAAGGCGAGCGAACTCTTCTCGAGCTTCGCGGCGCGGCAGCAAAAAGAACGCGTTTGACGACCTCGCTCTCGAAGAAGTCATGCGCGGAAGGCGACAAACACTGGGCGATGGACACTTTGATGAAACAGGGATCTGGGTTCCAGATTTAAAGTCGGCGCCTCTCAGTGAGGACTCTTTAAAGAGCTTAGAGCGCGGAGACGAAAGTGGAAACAGTCTACTTAAGTCTCAAGGATTGTTTGCAAGAAAACGAAGAGAAGCCAGCGAACAGGATAAAATTATTCCGGTTGCCAATAAAAGCGGTCGCTTTGGCAACGACAAGCCGACAGATGTTAAAGGTAAGGTTTTAGTCCGTGAAAACAGATGCAGGCTGTCTTTGTTCAAGCTACTCAAAATAACATTCTTTAAGCAGTTAAATAAGTGAAATAATGCAAAACTAAATTGTTCATTCGTTTTTTGAAAAAAACGAGTGTTTTCCGATTAATGTGCTGTGAAATAAAGAATCTTCAGCACAACGCGAAGATTTCTTTGAAATTGTGAGTTGCACGCGAGTATTGAATAACGCGAACTTAAAATTTCCCTTATTTTTCGTTCTATTAAATCATTACTTTTGTTTTGTTTTCCAGCCTCCTTCAAAATGTAATTTTGAGCTACTGTTAATGGAAAGTTTTATATAAAATTCTTCGAGAGAAACTGTTTGTCTCGTAAACAGAGGGACGCGTGAATTGATAGCAATCCTACCACCTGCACCTTTATGAATTTTACTTGGCCTTAACTTAGTTGCCCTTGGTGACAATAGCCTTATTCAGTTTCTCTATAATGTGCGGGATAAACGACGGTTATTTTCATGTGGATTAGTGGATGGACAGAGGGGCCATTTTTCAATGGTAGCAGTGGGCCAGTGATAGAATAAAATACTTGAATTACTACCTGAACAGAGTAGTAAAGGGAAGCGGGGGAGGGGGAGTAATTGATGTCATTATGCGGAGTATACTTTCTGTCAGAAGAAGTCTAGAAATTTATGCTTTTGGCGTATACGTGTCGTAGTTTGGGAACTATTTCGTCATTTACAATTGAAATGTACGTTATTTGTTTTTTTTTTAATATGTTGCTCTTAATTATGGCAGAGATAAGATTAGTCGTGCTGTGCAAACTGCTTATTTCAATCTTGGTGAAATTAACAGTTTGCATTACACAACCAGGGTAATCTTCGTATTTTTGGTTGGAAATCTTAAATAAGTTGGTAATGTATACAAGCGTTAATCTATCTCGACAGGTGCTTTTTTAAATTCTAATTCGCTCTTTTCACGTCACTCGGAGCAGATGCTCTTTATTGTCACCTTGATATTGTGTTCGCGTTCAGTTTGTCAGAAATCCTCATACGTTTTTCTATTCTTCCGCTGTATAAACCAAGGCTTAAAAGATTCATTCGTAGAAATCCCTCATCACCAACGGCAGATTGAAAATTAAGGTAGCAAATCTGATAACCTATAAAATGTGATATATTTAGCGTGCACCACTAACGTGGTGCGTTTTGTTCATGTTGCATCTTTTGATAAATTCATACCGTGTTTTTGTTTTTTGTTTTGTTTTTTTTTCTCTCGACGTTGTAAAGACTTTTGCATTCGTGGTGTAAATGAATTTTCATGTTTATATAAACCATTGCGTTAAGTTTAACGTAATCACTGAGCCAATTAGCTTTACATCTCTTACTTACAATTTCAATAAGGAGCGAAGTTGTTAAGAGACTCGGTCGAAATATTATTGCGATTCGCTGTGTAGTGCGTAACGAAGAAACACTTGTTGTAGTAGACTTTTGCGCTTGTTGAAGGAACGTCTGTTTCTTGAGTTAGATTCCTCCTTTTTACTGTTAGATACTTCACTTTTTTAAATATTCTCTATTAAATTGAGAAGTTTTCTTCGCTTTCAATTGCTTTGCGGTTAGAAGGTTAAAGATGGCATTTTAACGTTTCTTCTGAACACGGTTTCATGTTAGCCATACTGAGGCAGACTATTGATTTACATTTTTGTATTGTTTCGCAGACTTCTTCGAGTTGATAAGCAAAGCCCAGGCCAACAGAATGGACGATCAAAGAGGCGAGCTCAAAGGTAATTTGGAGCTTCCAGATTTCCTGAAAATTCCCAACCGTAAAACAGCTGAAACTGACGGAACTTTTAAGGTCCCGTATGCTCCTCCTCCGCCTCCTGGCTTCAGAAATGGGGAGACGAACATGAAGAAACCCGCGGTTAAGAAAACGTTGTCAAATCCTGTTACTCCAGGTCCTGAGAAAATGGACTTGATGCAGGAGCTGTCCGTGAAATTGTCTAAGAGATCCGATTCAACAAAGACTAATTTGTCGTCTCCCAAGGAAAATACTGAGCGAAATACCGAACAAAATGAAATGCTATTAGATTATAATTTTAACTCGCGGCTTCAGCCGCAACAAGAACAGAACGGCAGTAAAGCTGTTGGAACGAGAAGGGGAGAAAGAAATCTTCGTTCGGAGAGACCAAGGTCTTCAACTGATGTTGAAGTCTATACTGTGGATGCGGCGCGCGGGATGCGGGTTGAAACGGGTCCTCAACCTCGACCCGTATCTGAAAATGAACCCCCAAGAAACGTGGCACACGTCCAACCTTTAGTGCGATCACAGGGTTCTCAGCCTCTGACTGTAAATAGTTTGCGTGGAATTCACTACGCTACTAATCCACGTCGTAGCTCTGGTGACCAAGCGGGGCACTATCGTTCAAACAACGTCGGCAGCGTCAAACCGCAAACAATCGAGCGGGTTACTTCCAAGTCCTCTCAAAATGTGAGAGAAACTACGCCGGCGATTTACAACGTGAAACCCGGTGCAAAGCCCGGGTCAAAGCCCGGGTCAATTCGTGAAGCAATGCAAGGAAAAGGTTTCGATGATTCGAGGAGATTTTCAAGTATTCCCGTCGATATTCCTTCGCGGAAAATAGTATCTGCTTACAGTTTGCCTGAAGTGAGCACACGAAAGGCCGAAATACTCGTCCCCTCCTCGGGCGGCCCACCTCCAGTCCCTCGAAGAACTGTCTCTAGTATGGAGGCAAGACGACCGCGGCCCAAGCCAATCATTGGCTCAGAGGAGCTTTTAGCAGGGCTGGAAAATACTGTGGTAGAATCACAGTTGAATACGTCTCCTTCGTCGGCACCGAGCCAGGATATAACGAGAGTAGCGAGTCCGCTTCCTCCCCCACCTATCCCTCTCTCGGGATCAATGCATGATCTACAACTAGCCGACTTCTCACCGCCTCCTTCAATATGTGAGTCACCGGAAGGACCCAACACCTCTCAGTATCGTCGTTCTTTAGACTCTTCGATAACCCAGCAGACTTTTACGTCGGATTCGTTTCCAAGTAGTACAACTTCTCAGGCCCGACACAGCATTGCCAGTCCGCCAAATTATTCTGGCCCAGTAGCTTACGTTGATTTACCAAACAAGGACGTTCAACGGCAAAGAATAGACAACAGATCAACAGACTCTAATAGACAATCAATTAAAACGCATATTAGACAAAGCAATTCGCACGTTCCAAATCCGGGGGGATACTCTAACCAGCCAGGGAGGAGTGAAGATCACACGGACGCAGCTTCACAGCCACGGCGATCCCCCCCTGACACTCATACGCCTTGTTCGGGAACTCCACCCCTTTTGAACCCAAACAAAACGATAACACCGTCAACAAATGAAAGAACTCTAGTTGATGAGTCTTCAGAAAGTGACACGCCCTATACGGGTCACAGACCACCAATAGACGTTGCGTCTAAACGACTCGTACACGGCACCTCGCGGAGCGTGGACTCGGAGAAACGACGCAGTCGGCAGGACGGCGAGATTCCAAAGCTTGACCCGTATGTAACATATGAAAAGGAAGATTTGAGGATAACTTTTGTATAGGAATTTTACTGATTTTAATTAACAGAGATTAAATGGATACGTTTCTCCTAACAGTGAAGCTTGGTTTTCACGAGGGACCCAATCTCACTGTAGACTTTCTTCGATTTCTAAAATGTGTAAGTTCCGAAGTTTAGTTGTTAGAAACAGCTGTGTCATGGACTAGGTAAAGCTCTGAGGCAATAGGCCCTTTGCAGCTAGTCATTCACGTGGTACAAAACCGCCGTGCGGAAGAGCAAGGGACGCACAGGGACAAGACAAACGGATAGCTTACATTATTTAAAACGGTAGAGTGATTTTACTTGAACCGTGAAATAGGTAGTAGAATACTACGCACTATTATGCACTAATTTTATTGTCTTCTTTTGTTTACCTCTCGCAGTTTTGTATTATTTGTTAGTATCTGTCTCACGGTTCAAGTAAAATCACTCTAATTTCCCTTGTTTGTTTTCTCCCAGTGCGTCCCTTGCTCTCCAGCATGGCAGTTGTTTTTGTACCACGTGACTGACTAGCTGCAAAGGGCCCTTTATAGTTCAGTAAAATCCTGCGTGTGTAGGTAATCGTTGCCGTCGCAAAATCTCGTCCTGAAAACAAGCTTGACGCAGATTCTTCTATCCTCTTAGTTGCGAATAATTTCACTTGATATATTCTCGCATTTTTGTTTCTATTTCCGGGCAAACCAAGCTTCATTTTGCGGAGAATGAGCTGCAGCAAAATTCGATATATTTTGTTTACTCAGGCTTTATAAAAGGGACAGGTAGAAAGTGTGCCACTTACGATTCTAATTTGTAGGCTTAATGATAGTACGGTAAAAACCCGCGAGTATTAAAGCACCTGCATTTTCCCAAGTTAGCCTAAATAGGTTCTTACATAAATGTTAATTAGCACAAATTTAGGCAATTTAAGTTCTTAAATAGAAAATACATTGTAGCTAAGAGTATTAGCTTATTCGTTACATCAAATCTGCATCCCATTACAGTGCAGTTGGCGTGATGTGGCACCTATTTCTCCAAAGAGGTTCCTGAATGTTGACCTATCTTTTTTGCCAAAGTGTACAGAGTATTTTTTTACAGAGTTTACAAAATAAGAACCTGTTTCAAATTTTAGGCTAAACAGGTTCTTGTATATAGGGGGCCTAACTTGCAAATTTTAACCTAACATGTTCTTAAAAACCAGGTTCTTACTCGCGGATTTTTACTGTATCAAGAAACGAACAAGTGAGGCCATGACTGACTTGAAATCGTGCAGCGCACTTTTTACTGTGTAAATTTTATATTTAACCCGAACTGAAATAGAATTATTTTGCGAGAGTTACTTTTTAAACTGGCGACTGAGTTTATTTTAAAACAAACGTATATTCGTACTTGAAATCTCAGTACCTAAATAGTTGTGTTTTAAATCAGATTTTCTTCAATTTTGAGATAATATGGCGTCGTTTTTAAGATTAATTTCTAAAATTATTCTGTACTCTTGAAAAGTTTTATTGTTAATGCATGGCGCGGATGATTTCCTGCGGCGCTGCAGTTTTTTAAGCAACTGAAAGTCAAATGATTTATATTTTTGTTTATCGAGACAACGATTATTGCACGTTTATTTGAAAACTATTTATGAATTATCTTCTGAATATATTTCGCTCACGAAGTTCAGTACGGGAGGTGAGAAATTTAAATTTTGTACAGGTTGAGCGCACGGAATGTATTTACTCCTTGTGAACTAAAAAAATAACTTTTATTCTGTTCCTGGTGTTTAGTTGTTCGGTTAGCGGGACAGAACAGAGCGCTTTGTTTGTCCAATCAGGGCCATTCACGTATTTGTTTACGCGCGAGGAACTTCACGTTTCCTTTATAAAATCCAAAAATGGATTTTGAATCTAAAGAATCCTCACTCTAAATGGATCCATTAGATGAAATCTAAACATGGATTTCTAAGACGCAGGATCTGTACGTTAAGTTCGTGCGCTTGTGAATGTGTCGCGATTTATTGCTCTGTTTTGTGATTGGCCTTCGTTGTTCGAGGGTCCTTAGTTCTTTACAAGCAAGTTATCTCGCAGTAATAGGTCATACTGTTTATTTGGTCTTATTTATGAGATGCAAAATTTTCAAATGAAATCTTAAGTGTTTTACGTCGTGTTTTACAAGCACTCAAGTATTGGTTAGTTTTGTATCATAGATTATTGTAACATTGCTACAATGTGTGGAAATGCACAGCCTTACAAGTCAATATCAAGAGGATCATTAATTAATAAAATATACATTACTATGCGTTTTGTGTAACGACACATTCCGCTTCTTTCCTCTAGCAGCAACGTGCCCCTCGCCCAAGCTCGAACCTATTTTAACCTTCTTCTCATACTTCTCATTAACAATAAATCTGATACTTTCCCCGTGGCTATGGAATAAATAAACTGAATAGACAAACAACACGAAGAAGCCCAAGTGTGAGACATGCTACTTTAACACACATGGCCGGACTACATAAATTACTGTATGTTTTATAGCCTTTCCCAGGCGTTCAGATGGTGGGGAGCGAGTTGAAGCGTACGCGGGAAAACGACTGGAGGCATGTGTTCACGATTTTCTGAGTTTCACAGTAATATACACCCTCCCCCGCTGCCGAAATTACCTGAAGATGTATAAGAAATAGGGTATGAAGCAGAAAAGCAAAATTTTTTTACAGCGACCGGACTCGTGCTGCTGAGGGGATATGTTCATGAATGAATTTTTCTGGGGTCTTTAGGGAAAACAGCATTTTACTGAAGGTTAGAAAAATTTCAAAGTCCTTCGTCAACGGAGGAGTGTGTATATTGAAGTGTAATGGCCCAAACGTTCAACTCGAATGTAGTAAGCTTATTTGAGTAAATATAAATTGGCCATGACCTTTAGTTGCAGTTGGTGGCTCCTAAAAGAGCCGTTTGTTTTTATCTGACTTATGGACTGTCTATCTGCTGCTAGTGTACTTAGTTACTGCTTTGGTTCCCTCGCTCACAGCATGTTTAGAAAGTTCACCAGGCAACAGTAGCCGAACGGCCGTCTGCATTTCACGAGAGCTGATGGTACTTCTCTTGTTGTAGTGAGCGAGACGAGATGCTTCCCCTGCAATGCGCTCGAAAACATCGTTCACAAAGGAGTTCATGATGCCCATGGCCTTGCTGGAAATGCCAGTGTCGGGGTGAACTTGTTTAAGAACTTTGTAGATGTAGATCGAGTAGCTCTCCTTTCGTCTCTTCGTCCTCTTCTTTCTATCTCCTGATGGTCTCTTTCCGGCAGCCTTCTTTGCTTTCTTAGCACCCGACTTTGGAGGCATTCTCAAAACTCAATGAATAAACAACTGCAGACGTTTTAAACTTGAAAACGAGTAAAGAAAAACTAAAATGCAAACAGATTTATAGCAAATGTGGTGGGGATCAAAAACTGACAGGATCAAAAATAACGATTTATGATTGGTTGGCACATAAATAGCTGGCCGCCTGAGGACGCAAAAGTGAATTTGCTGCACGCTGATTGGTGGAGGACGCAAAGACAGCGAATCTTATTGGCTCTTTTCGATCCTTTGGCGGGCATAAAACACGCAAACAGCACTGTTATACCTGTAAGTTTGCTGCAAGTGTTTCGTGATCATGACGGGTCGTGGTAAATCAGGCAAAAGCCGAAGCAAAGCCAAAAGCCGTTCATCTCGAGCTGGTCTTCAGTTTCCAGTTGGCAGAGTTCATCGTATTCTCCGCAAGGGGAACTACGCACAACGGATCGGTTCGGGCGCGCCTGTGTATATGGCCGCAGTTCTCGAGTACTTGTCTGCTGAAATACTTGAGCTTGCCGGCAACGCTGCCCGCGATAACAAGAAGACCAGAATTATTCCTAGACATTTGCAGCTGGCTGTTAGGAATGATGAAGAACTGAATAAGTTACTTGCTGGGGTCACTATCGCACAGGGAGGCGTTCTTCCGAACATCCAGGCTGTTCTTCTTCCGAAGAAACACGAAAAGAAAAGCAAGCAGTGAATTCAGTTCAAGATCTCTAAAAACGGCTCTTTTAGGAGCCACCAATAATACAAAACCAATGGCCAATAGAGCTCTAAGTTCACATTAAAACTGCACATCTCATTACGCGTACGTAGTTGAGCTCTAGATCACAACATGAAAGATAAAATCGTTCTCGCGACTGGCATACAAATCTGTTCAGTAAATCATAGGTGCAGTTTTTTCAAAGTTTTCTACTTTTCTTAAATGCCCTCAGGCATAGAAAGGCGCTAATACATAAGCTTATGTCAATTAATTATTACTTTTTTATGTCCGGTTTGCAGCATTTGGAAATTTTAAAAACCGTGTAAGCTAACAATTTAGCCTAATTATGGATGGTAAGAGAGATTGTATAGTGTTACGATGTTAAAACACTCTTACCGAGAGTAAAATATTGGCCGAGTCTAGGACTCATCCAGACAAAGTTTATAATTATCTTTGCACGCTGTAGAAATGGCCTCGTGTTGAAAATGTGTTTATGTCTTGCTCGGGAAATTTGTTGTCGATGAAGTTCCCATAACTGTCTTTGAGAAATTTTACCCTTTGGCGGAATATTCGCTGATGTTGACTACTTAAAGCTGTGAACAAATTGAGCGACGGAATGAAAAAATGAGGACAACATTTGTCGTTGACAAAAGACTGTAGAAGATTTATAAGTCCACAGAAACGCTCAGGCAATTTTTCAAGCGTCCACTGACTTTCATCTGGAAATTTTGCGCTTTCATAAAGCAAAACAGTTTGTAAGTGGTATGGTTTGATAAAGTCACAACCAAGCTCGCTGTAAACAAATGTTTTTAAAAGCTGAAAACACTTTTGTCGTTGGGAAAACCTGTTAAAATTTAGCTCCAACCTTTCCGCTTTGCAGAACCAAATTTTCCAATGATATTCTTTGGGACTAGATTTGGAAACTAGCTGAACCCCACAGTTAACTGGCTTTCTTTTAGATAGTGTGTTGGATATGTGTTTGCAAGATTTTTCGCCTACTATTGAAACCTCGTCAGAGCCGGGCCACACGCCTTCAAAGTCAATCGCAGCTACTAAATTCACAATTAAATTCAAGCCTCGGATGTTCACCTCCAGACAAATATCTTCGTTTGAAAGGTTCTTTATCTCGATACCTTCCATTTTTCTGTTGTGGTAATTCTGTAAGTACGACATATCTTCCAAAAGTTTGGAGAGAAGCCTGGATAGCTCCGAACGTAACATTTTTGACGACAAATAGTCTTTTCCTAACTTTGACGTCCTACAAAGGTTTTTCCAGGTTGTGTGAGAATTCGTATTCTTTAACAACTCGATCACTGCATGTCCCGCGCATGCCATACCCCCCTGAAAACGAACGTCTCCAGGTCGAAGACAACATGAACTGAGGAAAACGAGCAATTCAAAATGGTTGGCAGCTTTGGCGACGAAGAAACTCGACGAATCAACAGGATGAAACGAAAACTTCGCGTCGTAGTTTGCAACAGCAGAGAGCAAAATATTCACTACAGCTTGCACTAATTCGAAACTTTCCTCGACGCTATCTTGAATTCGCTCTGTGGCTTGCAATTTTAAAAGCACATTTTCTATCCATTGTGGATTCGAATTTAAAGAAGAAGATCTATTCTGTCTTCTGTTGACAAAAGTTTCCATTTTGCTGTTAATTTCTGCGTAAAACTGCGTATAATCACGTCAACTTAAAACTGCATAATAACCAGTGAATTGAAACAAGTTTTAAAATATTTAAAATCTGAAAGTGCCCCGGAGAGTTTTTGCGGTTTTAAGGTTGCTTGTGACACGGATGCGTAGAAATCAACCAACTACAATTTGCATAATTATAATTTCAACTTCATTTCTATTTCATATTTTCGATTGCTGTGAAGAAGTTGTTATTTTTTTTCGAAGACTCTAAGCTGGACAAAATGATAGATGCGAAGAAAGTTTGATACTGAGAGTTTGTATGGGAAATGAAGAGCCGTTTTTATAAGAAATCAAACTTTCACTAATTAATTTAACTTAAGGGGTAAAACTTTTCACACACAGCGAGCTGTGGTTTCTCCAGGCCGGACGCGGCTATGCTGGCGTAGCGGCCTGCAGAAACCACTGCTTGTAGGTGTCGTTGTCTTTCTTTCTACAAGTTTCAGCGCGATTTGAGCAGTTTAACATCATCTGGCCTGACAATGTTACAGATTTGATGTACGTTTTATTTTATGAGCGCTACACCATCGTGCAGTACGAAACTATATAGTAATAAAATGCCTAGTCAAATCTTCAGTTGATGAAACATTGTACTTCTGGTAAGTTTTATTTTCCATCATACACAAACACTCATATTATGCTTGGGCAACCTTTGCTTATCAATATACACGATGTCTCGCAAAGTTGCAGTTCTCTTTGCCTTTCACTGAAACAAAATTTTTTGTCTTCATAGAATATTGACAATGTTTTAATTTATAACGAAATGTATGCCAGGTCTGATTTTTTGGTCCTAGGCCGTATTAAACTATGATAAGGTACTGATTTTTAATCGGTCTTCTCTGAAACTGAGTCCGGGTTTAAGGAGGCTCGCACCCATTTTTCAAGGTCTCACCCCTTCGTGTTTGATGCTCCATAACTTTGGCTTCAGTGCATGTAAGGAACAGCCATATTCTTGCATGCAGCATGCCGGGCCACGGCTCACTGCTTCTTTCACACACGAGTGATTCTTGTTTCAATGCTTCATTTGACTTAGTTATTCATATAACGCAACTTTCTTGTTATTTCTTGGAGTAAAAACTGCAATTTAAAGTCTTCAATAACTTTGTTTTCCTCCTTAGTCTGGTCAATTAAATTAAGTGAGACTTCAGTTTATTCTATGTCAGTTTAACTGCACTTTATGGAAGAAGCAGCCACAGAACAGCGTCATATAAAATAGGTTTAAAATGTTTCTTTTCCTAGAACTCTTGAAGTTCATTGCATTATGCCTTGTTTTTTAAAAAAATATCACTTCTTAGTTAATTCTCTATTAAAAGCTAAACAGATAAGAACCTCACTCCTTTTTATCTTTCTTGATTCTGCCCAACAAATAGAACTCATCATTTGGTCGCATGTTGGTCAAATGGGCCATTCTGTTAGACAATGCAAACAGTCCAGCAATGGCACCAATATCCCAGGCATCTTCACTATCCAGGCCATGCGTTTCTAAAGCTTTAATGTGCTCATCTTTTACTGTTTCCGATCGGGACACCTGCATGGCAAACTCGATGATGGCTTTCTCTCTTTCTGTTAGATCTGCATAGTGCCAGTTTGCTGCAACCTAAAATGATTATAAATTCCGAATAGTATTAAAGTAATAAACTATGATGATAGAGAAAACAGTGGAAACCAATTTAAGAGAAATGGATAAAAAAACACAAGCAAATTAATTGCCACAAATTTGGGAAATGGCAAAAACAATGGAATATTGTAAGTGAATAGCAAGGTCATTTCAGTTATAACTACATGTACAAGATTGTCCATTTTCTAGCTTTCACTGTATTACCAAAACAACTTTTTCACATGTTGAGGATTCTTTTTAAAGCACTTTTGGAAGCATACAAAAAAGAATTACAATTCCTGATTATAAAAAACACCTTTGCTACACACATCTGCTGGTTTAAACTTGAGCTAGAGTTCAAGTGCATTAATACCAACACAATAGAATAGTCTGTGAACAAGCTCTCCATTAAGGCATATAATGTGAAGTCATGGGTGAGTGGCCCACAAAAGTGAGGAGCTATCACTTGCCATGTAAAATGGAGAGCTTACTAAAATACAGGACTGAACAGCAAAAGCAAACTATGAAAAAAAGACTGCTTGTCACTCAAGCCTCTTAAAGAAAAAGGGGCAGACAAACACAACTAATAATTTGACCCACACATGCATGAGTGCTTGTGTGGGTCACTAAATCTGAAAAAGCAAAAAATTATTTGGAAATGATGTCAATGTGCCTTATTGGCAGGAGGGATAGTTTCTTTCTCATTATTTATTAATTAGCCTGTGAACGGGCTCCCAAGTGGAGCAGGGCGAAAAATGAAATCGGCAAGTGAAGCATTGGGTGTTTTGTCAATATTCATTACTCACTTGTCAACAGTTAGTGATCTGACCAATCAGATCATGATACCAGAATCTAGTATCATGGATGGTCAGCATCGACACAAAGTCTACAGGCTCCCCCACCATTTTTTCTCCCCCACACCACACTTGGCTTGCTTCGTTCACCAATTTTCTTTTTTGCCCTGTCCCCCTTGGGAACCTGTTCATGGGCTATTAATCATTCAAATGTAATAGAAATATAAACAGAAATTTACCTGATCACCCAGCAAGGTGTTCTTAGCGTAGATCCTCAATAGTGCACCATGGGCAATAACACAATATGTGCAGTTATTAGCAGCACTTGTTGCTACCACGATCATTTCTTTCTCAGCCTTGGTTAGGTTACCTTCTTTTAACATCAAGGCATCATAGTACATGAAGAATGCTCGGAATTCATCTGGTCGATGGGCTAGTACTTTGAAGACATTCGGTAAAAAGCCACCCTTGAAGAAAGAGAGTAGGCATGTTGTGTCAGTAGTTACACGAAGCAAGGCCACCCAAACAAAATTTTGAGACAACTTTTGAAATCAGCCAATCACAAGTCGAGATCTAAATGATGAAATTATGCATAATTGTACTAAGACGGCCAGTTCAAAATACGTTGCGAACCATTTTTGTAAAAGGATATGAAAAACAAGGAATCATGATGTTTGTGTATATTTCAAGATGACAAATGTTTTTACTGTTGACAATGTATGGGTTTTGCCGAAAGCAAAGCCAGTGGTAAAAAAAATTGGAGCAACCTGCGACAGCCGCTCATTCTCTTTCACCGCAAACTGTGCTCCAGGAGTGAATCGCAATGCCTGTGACTTGAAAAGGTATGGGGTCGGGTACAATACATAGTTTACGCACCTGCCCAGCTTGGACGGCGAAAACAAAACTGAGAATGACTCTAGACTGCTTAAGAATAGCGAAGGAAATTGCCATGGTTAGTGAAATTTTTGTCTTGGGAACAAGGCAGACATTGCTTTATTCTTGCAAGTGACAAGAAGCAACCTAGTCACGGTGACAGCCCCAAACACAGAAACAATTTGGGATCGAAATCCACCAATCACAAAGCATGACCTTTGAATTTTGCTCAAGTAAACATGTTTCCTATGAGGTCCGCTTCGAATAAAAAGATCTTTGGAGTGTCATCGCCATTACTAGTTCAGATTGTTCAAAATTTCTTTACTGCTGGCTTTGATTCCAGCCAACCCAGATGTTGACAAAACATTTTCCAGCCTGATTTACACAAACGTCATGATTCCTATGTATATTGTGTTATTGTATATCCTTTAGAAAAATGGTTTGCTACGTATTTTGAACTGGCTCTGAGTACGAAATTATGTGCAATTTCATTGTTTCGATCTTGACTTGTGATTGGCTAATTTCAAAATTTTGTCTCTTTTTTTTTCTGGGTGGCCTCGGTTCTTGTAGTCACACTGTAAATGCTTTGCAGATCAAAACAATTGGAGGTGGGGCAAGGGGAGGACACTGCTTGATTTTTTCATGGACAGGTCCTTCATTGAGGTTGAAAATTCACTACTGATCCTCATTTGGTAGGAAATGAAAATATGTAAAAATGAACAGATCATTTAAGATTTGGGGCTCAGTTCTTTCTCAGCTAAATACTGCTGTTTGTCATGTCATGTCATCAGGTTTTAAAGTTCTTCTAGGAAGCCTAACAACATAGCTGTTTCTACTAGTGGGTAAGATTAAGCAATTTCTATATTGATTTATGTTCTGATTGGCTATCCAACAAGACAAGATGGGCCTGCCTTGCCCACTTGAAATTGCCTGCTTTATTACTGCAAGAGAAAAACTTTCTTTTGGCTAGCCTGCGAAAGCATCCGTTTCTCCTTCGCTCTTCGCCACCCAAGAGCGAAGGAGAAACAGATGCTTTCGCAGGCTATCTTTTGGCTACTCCAGATTTCAAGTGATGGGGATGATCAAAGGATTTTTTTGGGTAGGAAGATTTGGCAAGTATCTTTTTGGGTGGCTTGATTTAAGTAGGGATTTTTGGGGGACATTCAAAACAACATGAATAATCATAATAACTTTAGATGGCATGATGAATAAACAAACACAAACACTTGATTTCTAATGTTTTTAAATTTCGTGTTATATCACTTAATGCTTTCTGAAAATTTTTAATGTTCGGAAATGCGGCATGGGATTTTTTTGGAGTTAATTTTTGGTGCAGGGATTTTCTTGGGTTTTGTTTGAAGGCTTACGGATATTTTGGGGTTTTGGTTTTTGCCCCCATTCGATCTTCCCCGTCACTTGAAATCCAGAGTACCCCTCCCCACCGCCCCTGGGACTTCTTAGCATTCCAACATGCAGGTCGATTATTAGGCTAAGTGTCGATCTTTTTAATATGGCTTCCCCTAAATTTCCCGACTACCCCCTTTTTGTTAGAAATATATCCTCTGTAAACAGCTTCCAAAAGACTCTTAAAACATATTTGTTTCAGAAGGCATTCCCTGGCTGATATTTTATTATTTTTATTATTAATTATTGAGTTCAAATAGGATTTGTATAAAGTACGATTGTTTACCTGGTGACCCTAATTATTGTTGAAAGAATAATGATAGCGTCATCAGGTAGTTGTCATTTAATTAAGAGCTAGTCATCGTTTAGGGTTTGAAGGAAAATTTCTTGATTGATATCTTCGCAATATAAGCTAATTAATAAGTATCATCATCATAGTCATTCGATCTGTGGTACCTTCTCTTCCACTTCACTCATTCTTTGCTGAATATCTTGTGGTAATGTATCTCTAATGGGAACGGGAAACCGGCTAATTGGCTTTTCTTGGCTCATACACCTTCTTCCTGATGCAGCGATGCGCACTGGGGCCAAAAACGTTTCCTTACAAGAGAAAATGGATCGTACACCCCTCACCCTTCCAAGGAACATCAACGAAGCCATAACCGAAATTTGATAATCTACACGAAGTAAACTATGCAGATGAACAAGTCCGCTGAGTTTATAGTTCAAGGACTCACCTCTGACGTCATGCTTAGCAGCCGCGACTCAGTTGCTATACAGTAACATCGAGCGTCGGACACTATATATCGTGACTTCCAGGAAAAATGGTGAGTATTTTATTGTCAAAATTGTTATGCATGATAGGTACTTGCTAAAAGTGTGTTTTGCAGGGTTTACTTTCACTGCTGAAAAAGCTGAAATCAAGCAGTAGCAAAGAACTGAAGATTCTCTTCCTCGGTTTGGACAATGCCGGGAAGACAACGATTTTGAAATTCATGGCTAACGAGGACATTCAGCACATCACGCCGACCCAGGTATTCGACTGCATTGCTGTCTTAGAGAATGGTCGATACCAATATGCTAAAGCTGAACTTGTTCTCTTGCAGGGATTTAATATTAAGTCCGTCCAAAAAGATGGATTTAAGATGCATGTCTGGGACATAGGAGGTACTAAAAGAGATTTCCTTTCGAATATTGTTGGGTTTTTCCTTGAACGATCTGTTCTTAACATCTTTAGCTCTACCTGTATGAAATAACACAAAATTAATGCTACTTTCTTAAGTTACTTGTCAGTTTTGAAGTTTAAGTGTTAACAGATTGGGTGTTTTATGTCATTTAAGGACAAAGAACCATTCGTCCATACTGGAGAAACTATTTTGAACAAGTTGAATGTTTGGTAGGTGATGTTGAAAGTTTATGTAATATGCCGATCAATTCGAATTCAGTATCCTCCCTTCCCCCTCCCAGGCAAACCCTGGATGTCTGTCCATCACTTTGGCCCGGGGAGTGTGGAATTTGACCACAATTTGAAGCCTGGGATGGGTCAAAATTTTGCCCATTTGACTGGAATGATTCACCTGTTAGGAGGGAATTTAGTGGCAGATTTTTTATAAAAAATTCAAACCCGCACCCATTCCCTTCATCTCAACCCCTTCCTTGCCCCCTTGCCCCCCCTGCCCCCCCCTCCCTACCCTGCTGCCCCTGCCTGCTTTACTTTGATAGCTACATCATACATGGATTTTCATTTGTCTTCTCAAGGTGTATGTTGTAGACAGCTCGGATCAAAAGCGGTTAGAGGAGACTGGCGTGGTAAGTAACTAAGGTTGATTCTACTAAACACTACAACACCTGATGATTTTACTTTACAAGAGCTGAGTCCAATGCTCTTTCAAGTATGTTTTGATAATGATATCATCAGAGGAACTATGCGCTCCAGTCCAAACTCGTATTATCTTTAGAAAAACAAGCTGGAGTTCAAAAATAATTGCTTAAAGAGCCATCTTGACTAAGTCACAACATAGTTCTCCATATTTAAAGTAGCTTCAGTTTAAGCTGCAATCATTCTTCAAAATTTGGATCTGTGAATCACTATCCGTGAGAATTTAACATCCTGCAAAAAACACTAATGTGTGACAAAACATTGTGGGAAACCATCACATTCATGGACAGTGATTCAGATCAAGGAGGGATTTTGAAGAAAACTCAACATCCTAAAACCCTTATTTAGCCGCAATGAAGAACTTAACGTTTCAAAAGAGGTCAACTTAAGAAAATGCTCTTGCATCAGCGGGCAAATCATACCCATCAGAAACAATAACCGCAGAAATTAATATGCGTGTCATGACCTCTCAGCTTGAAAGAAGTGGCAAAAATCACATTTTCTCAATCAAAACGTAGACCTCTCCAGAGCATAATCTAACCATAAGAGAAAAAATTCATTGGAACAAGCATTATTTTTGCATGAGGTAAGTCGTGTGTGCCTACCAAACCCCTTTTTACACTCCAAACTGCTCACACTTGCATAAGGGATTAGCACCACTCGAAATACTCTCGCAAGAAATTTGAAAGATTCCAACTCATTGACATTTCAACAGTTTGACAGACAAAATCTAATTACCGGTATCTCAAACGTGCCAAAAGTATGTGGAAGAGGGTCGGAAAATAAATGATTACATGCTCTCTCTCCCTTCCTTTTTCCTTTTTCCCGCACCGCCAACTTTTACGCTCCATGTACCTTTACTTTCATGTCTTCCCCCCAGTGTCTGAGAGCCTGGAACAGGCTACTTCAAATGGAGAGGTTGCTCCCAGGCCATCACATTTCTTAGTATTCACCTGCAATTCCTGTTGGACGGACCAGTTTATGTTAGGAATTCCAAGGGAAAATTCTCGCTAATTACATACCAAGCACACCCACTATGACTCCATGTCTCCTTTTTAACCATCTCAACCAACCCTTAACAATTAACAACACTACTACACTCACACATGCCTGACTCACCCAAAAATCCTCACACATGCAACATGCAATGATGCCCAAGTGTATGCTCCCACAGCATCTTGTTTCTATTGCATCTAAACCTGTATATAACAAAGCAAGAAAATTTGTTGCTTTGGTTTAGGAGAGAGCTGTTGACCAAACATCATGGACCTACATGCAACTTCCCACTCTCCTGCCTCCACAAATACAGCTACCCCCAAGAACTGCACCAGTACACAAAATTTTTTCTTTGATTTCAGGAATTTAAGGACCTTTTAGATGAGGACAAATTATGTGGTGTCCCTGTTCTTGTATTTGCAAACAAACAAGATTTATTGAATGCCAAGTCTCCAGCAGAGGTGAGGTAACAGAATCGTTATAGTGGAAACTTTAATACAAATTGATATCAGTAGACTGGAAGGAATGTTACTTGTAGGTTAAAATGTAGGTAGAGCAGTAGGGAGGTACATAAGTAGGTAGATAGCAGGTAGGCAGGAAGGTATTAACCTTGTCCTGTATGAAGAGGAAAACCGGACAACCTAGAGAAAAAGCTTGGTAGAGGGCAATGAGCCAACCTCAGCAACAGACTTAATTTACGCAAGGGTTGGGAAATAGGGTCGATTTCCATCAAAGGTATTCAACAGCTTTCAAATTCAACTTTTAAGTTACATTTGAAATTCACTCTTGCCTTTAGATATCTGAATGTTTAGATCTTCATACAATAAAGGATCGGCCATGGCAAATTCATCCATGTTCAGCGAAAACAGGAGAAGGAATACAGGTATTTCAGAGTTAATTCTGACAAACTGTTAAAGATGCTTGATTAATTTTCGTACTGTTTTAGATAGTGATAGCCTTTTACTAAGAAAAATATTTGAAACAGTTTCTGCAAACTAGATTCTTCTTCCAGCACTATTATTAACCATTTCATCCTGTGAATCAAATGGTAAATTTGATGTCAGATCAGTGGAGTCACTCAGGGCTTTATTCCACGCAGCCATGCATTATTGGAATTTAGTCTTACTTCCAAAAGTTAATTTCATTTGTCACAGCATTTAGATACCGTAAAATTCCGAAAATAAGCCCCAGGGCTTATATTTTTCAAAGGCCCTTTTTGAGGGGCTCATTTTTGGACGGGCTTATCCACAGAAGGAAATTTGCATTTCAAAATCGATTGGGCTAACCTTATAGTTGGAAGTAAATTTACCATTTTTGCTTTGTTTTACCTTGTATTTGAGGTCAATTTTCCAAGTACAAGCCCCAAGTGGGCTTATATTAAGGGGGGGCGATTTAACGGAGGGTTTTTTGCATTACCGGGTTGGGGGGCCTATATTTGGAGGGGCTTATTTTCGAAATTTTACGGTACCCACTATAGAGATTTTTACATGGTCTTTGAAAATCTAATGTGGTCCTTGAAAAGTCCTTAAAAATAGTTAAAATAGTTGCAATTTTTTGTATGAACCCTGAAATACTCTTTTTGTTCCTTCCAAGTACAAGCGCCAGGTGGGCTTATATTTAGGGGGGCGATTTAACAGAGGGTTTTTTGCATTACCGGATTGGGGGCCCTAAATTTGGAGAGGCTTATACATGAAGAGGCTTATCTTCGGAATTTTACGGTACCCAATATAGAGATTTTTAGATGGTCTTTGAAAATCTAATGTGGTCCTTGAAAAGTCCTTAAAAATAGTTAAAATGGTTGCAATTTTTTGTATGAACCCTGAAATACTCTTTTTGTTCTTTCCAAGTACAAGCCCCAGGTGGGCTTATATTTAGGGGGGCAATTTAACAGAGGGTTTTTTGCGTTACCAGATTGGGGGGCCTATATTTGGAGGGGCTTATACATGGAGGGGCTTATTTTCGGAATTTTACCGTACCCAATGTAGAGATTTTTAGATGGTCTTTGAAAATCTAATGTGGTCCTTGAAAAGTCCTTAAAAATAGTTAAAATAGTTGCAATTTTTTATATGAACCCTGAAATATTCTTTTTGTTCCTGAAAGTTGGGTACATTTGAACTGATTTTACACTGTAGCTGACACTTGTTTCCCCTTTCTTTTTTCTTACAGAATGGAATGGAATGGTGTATTAAAATTGTTTCAAAAAAATAGACAGAAAAGTACTGGGATCTTAACAATGCTTTCAAGCATTTTATGAACTTTGTATCTGAGAACCTACTTGTATTATTTTGTTGATACAGTAACATACATAAAACAGATGTACTATAACACATTGATTAACACTATCATTATCATCATTTTGGTATCAGTATTTTTCACATTTGAGATGTACTATAACACACTGATTAACACGAACATCATCATTATTTTAATATCAACATTTTGGCATTTACGTGCAAGGTTTAATGAATGTAGAAGCATTAATTTGCCTTTTTCAGGTTTTATAACTAAACATTTCTCTTGAACTTAATGCCAAAAATGGTGGACAACGTCCTTCATCGGGCCACTAAAAGTTCAAGGAAGAGCTCTTTAAGTTAAGGATAGTCTGGGTATCAAGCATCTCCGTTTAGTTTCAGAGCAAATAAAGACAGTGGAATGGGGATTTTCAGTTTTGGCCACACGAAAAATGGAACAAGAGCCAAAAAATGAAAGAGGAGGGGAGGGGAGGGAGCAAGGAAACAGGGTTTCCCTTCTTTTTTCTCCACCCCATCCCCACTCTTTTACTTGTCCCACTTTTTGACAGTCTTTGACTCTCGTTCCTTGTTCCAGTTGCTCCGAAACCATACGTAAAAACGCTTGTTATGCAGGCTAAGTTAAGTAGAAAACTCTAATTTAAGAACAGTGTAAGATAATATTAACATGTTTCATAACGTACCAACAAACTGCAACTAAAGCAGTAATGAATTTTATCTTTCTTGCCCCTCAAACCTTTCATATGAAAGGTATTCCCTATTTCATCGTAAAATTGCGAAGTGATTCCCATAATGAGGATTTCTCTATACTTCTACTTGAGTAATAATTATTATAATTATTATTTAGTCATAGAGGGTAGTTTCTTGGTGTCATGGATGGGTCTAGTCAGCAAAATGACGCAGTTTAGGCACGGAACAATACCCACACCACTACCAATAAGTAACCAACAAAAGTTTCTGCAACACTAAGAAACACCCATGATAAGTCATATCATCCTGTACCATGTGTACTCAAGAAACATTAGGTTCTTGTTATATAGCTGCATTTTTCCTCCAATGGTCTGCATAGTCCCAGTCGACTTCCTTGAGGTTACATTTCAAGACTGTTCTGTCAATGTTACTTAAGCAGACCCCTCTCTAGCCTCTAACGCAGACGTTCTTAGCTTTATGAGCATAAAGACCTGCGTGGGAGGCTAACCCCTCTTCTGAGTGGGCTCTTTTTCCTTCCTCAGGGCGTCTGCTTAACGATTCCATTGTAATTTAGTGTATAAATATTGTTGGTTCACATTGATTACTGTAGTTGTACAAGATCAATCATCGTGCCATATTAGATGTTAATAATTCTAGTGAAGTAACAAACACAGGATGATGAGATCTTAAATCCAGAATAACTTTGCTATCCCTAAGATTTTGACTTCATATAGTTGTCAAAAAATTCTCGCACTACAAATAGGCTGATCACATCCATGGGCAGTGACAATGACTGAGAATGCTTATTTGTTATTCTTAAGTTTTGAATTGGTTATTTCATTATAGTACAATGTTAATTATTCACTAAAGGTTTCTTTGGCAATTGGGCATTTGGATCCATTTGGGCATATGGAATATGCACTACAATGATTTGCTTGAGTGACCTTCAAACACTGAGTGGCATCCCTGTGTGCAATTATTGCCCAATGCCAAAACTAACTTTTATTGAATCAGCTAATTAAACTAGATTTTTTTACTGTATTTTGATTTTTAACTCGCTCATCAACCTCCTCCCTAGACAAGCAGTTTTCTTTTTAATATATTTTATCTTTGGCACCTACCAAAGATATTCCAGCGTCTGGGGACAGGTATTTCAATTCGCAAAGATTTGTGTTTTTGACAAGTTTCAAATTTCATTTCACAAAACGCAGTATAAAACAGTATCAAAATTAATTTTGCCCTGGAGTGAAAATAGCTTAAACCATACAGTAACTTAAAATATCACAGCTGTATTTAATTGTTGGTAATTATCAATATTACGTGTAATGCAAATTTTGTTTTTATATGGAAGGTGTGCCATTTACTGTTCGATGATCACATTTAACCAACCCCCCCCCAACTTACCAATCATCCTCACTTTGTTGTCGCCTTCTTTGTAATTACCAAGATAATTTACTTACCAATAACATTTCTGTATTCTTGAATCATCATCATCCTCACTTTGTTGTCGCCTTCTTTGTAATTACCAAGATAATTTCATTACCAATAACATTTCTGTATTCTTGAATCATCATCATCCTCACTTTGTTGTCGCCTTCTTTGTAATTACCAAGATAATTTACTTACCAAGAACATTTCTGTATTCTTGAATCATCATCATCCTCATTTTGTTGTCACCTTCTTTGTAATTACCAAGAAAATTTATTTACCAATAACATTTCTGTATTCTTGAATCATCATCATCCTTACTTTGTTGTCGCCTTCTTTGTAATTACCAAGATAATTTACTTACCCATAACATTTCTGTATTCTTGAATCATCATCATCCTCACTTTGTTGTCGCCTTCTTTGTAATTACCAAGATAATTTACTTACCAATAACATTTCTGTATTCTTGAATCATCATCATCCTCACTTTGTTGTCGCCTTCTTTGTAATTACCAAGATAATTTACTTACCAATAACATTTCTGTATTCTTGAATCATCATCATCCTCACTTTGTTGTCACCTTGTTTCTAATTACCAAGATAATTTACTTACCAATAACATTTCTGTATTCTTGAATCATCATCATCCTCACTTTGTTGTTGCCTTCTTTGTAATTACCAAGATAATTTCATTACCAATAACATTTCTGTATTCTTGAATCATCATCATCCTCACTTTGTTGTTGCCTTCTTTGTAATTACCAAGATAATTTCATTACCGATAACATTTCTGTATTCTTGAATCATCATCATCCTCACTTTGTTGTTGCCTTCTTTGTAATTACCAAGATAATTTCATTACCAATAACATTTGTGTATTCTTGAATCATCATCATCCTCACTTTCTCGTTGCCTTCTTTGTAATTACCAAGATAATTTACTTACCAATAACATTTCTGTATTCTTGAATCATCATCATCCTCACTTTGTTGTCGCCACCTTTGTAATTACCAAGATAATTTCATTACCAATAACATTTCTGTATTCTTGAATCATCATCAGCCTCACTTTTTTGTTGCCTTCTTTGTTGATAATTTCATTACCAATAACAATTCTTGAAACATTTTGTATTCCATCATCCTCACTTTGTTGTTGCCTTCTTTGTAATTACCAAGATAATTTCATTACCAATAACATTTCTGTATTCTTGAATCATCATCATCCTCACATTTTGTATTCTTGAATCATCATCATCCTCTTTGCCTTCTTTGTAATTACCAAGATAATTTACTTACCAATAACATTTCTGTATTCTTGAATCATCATCATCCTCACTTTGTTGTTGCCTTCTTTGTAATTACCAAGATAATTTATTACCAATAACATTTCTGTATTCTTGAATCATCATCATCCTCACTTTGTTTTGCCTTCTTTGTAATTACCAAGATAATTTACTTCAATAACATTTCTGTATTCTTGAATCATCATCATCCTCACTTTGTTGTCCTTCTTTGTAATTACCAAGATAATT